AGCTTTCTTCCATATGTCCCAGCAAGATCCCTAATCATCTCCATTGTTTTTCTCTTGGCTTTCTTAATATTATCAGTACACAGCTTAAACAGGAATTGCCAGCTTCATCATCTGCTTTAATAACAAGTGTTTAATAATTGCAGGTATAATTATTCACTACACTGACAAACTTTGCTATTCACCACTAATTTCTTCAAATTACTGAAGGCATAAAGCAAAAATAGACTACTTAGAAAGGCATTCATTTCTAATCAAGTTTTGTTACTATTGTTTAATGGACAAAATCTTCAACCCAGCATTCCAACAATATTTTGTTACACCATAAAAAGAAAGCCAACAGGATGCTGGGTTGCATCAACAACGGCATCACCAGCAGAGGTAAAGAAGTCATTATCCCACTCTGCTCAGTGCTTGCCAGGCCACACCTGGAACACTGTGTTCAGTTTTGGTCCTCGCTATGCAAAAAAGATGTGGACAGGCTGGAGAGAGTCCAGAGAAGGGCCACAAAGATGATCAAGGACTGGGAAGCCTGCCATGTGAGGAAAGGCAAGAGAACTGGGTTTGTTCAGCCTTGAGAAGGCTTAGGGGAGATCTTATCACCATGCTCCAGTATTTAAAGAGTGGCTACAGAGGAGATGGAGACTCCCTTTTTACAAGGAGTCACATGAAAGAGATGAGGGGTAATGGGTAAAAGTTACTCCTGGGGAGGTTCCAATTGGACACAAGATGAAAATTTTTTCACAGTGAGAACAGTCAACCATTGGAATAATCTCCTCAGGGAAGTGGTGGACTCCCCAACAATGGACACTTTTAAGATTCAGCTGGACAGGGAGCTGGGCCATCTTGTCTAGACCATGCCTTTGCCAAGAAAGGTTGGACCAGATGATCCTTGAGGTCTCTTTCAACCTGGCATTTTATGATTCTATGATACAAAAAGTAAAGCTAATGGTGGTTTACATCCACGTACACTTTTAATTTTGTTTAGAAACACTAATCCCAGACCTCTGCTAGGGTGTGCATCCACAGCAAAATGGTGTGGCACCAGCCAATGGTCTATTTTCCCACCTTGATTTTATCCTATTTATATGTTTTGATTATTCCCACAACCAGAAAACAGGGAGACATGTCACAAAATCCCACACAAAGGATTGGCATGAAACTGAGTCCCCCTCATGCTGTCACCTCCTCCTGTCCATGAGGTCAATGCATCTGAGGGGCAGGTCAGTGCTGGATGTCTCTCTTGTGGGGTCCAGGGTGATGCAGCTGCAGTGCATGAGGTAGGAGCAATGTAACTCAGTTTGGGGAGGTGAGCTCCAGCCCTGGGAATGCTGCCTGCCCAGGAACAAGCCAAAGCTGCACTGTCAAACACCAGGCTTGCCCTAGCAACAGCCCCAAACTCTTCCTGAGAGTTGGATCTAAGCTAAAACAGACACACCGAGCTTTCTGCCCTAGTGAACTGCTCTGTGTCCTGGTCTGGCTAACCATGGCCCTGGGCAGCAGTAGGGCATGGAATGAGGGATGTGGGACAGAAGTCCGAGACGCAGGTATTTCCCAGCCTATAAACACAACACCTTACCCCAGGGATCTCTCAGATTAAGGGTGCAGACTTGTGGATATTTGCTAATTCAGATGTGAAAGCTCAGAGGGATGGCTGAGGAGGTCAGAGCTGATAGTCTCACTCCTGTCCAGAATATCCAAGCATTGCAAGTTCAGCTGTAAAATCAGCGTATAGGATAGTATAGATATATAAAGCCATAAACATTTTTTTTTCAAAAGAATGTAAAAATAAGCTTTTTCTAGGCATCCTAACAGATATGAGACAATAATAAACCCAATAAATTCCTACACAATATCTAGGTAGGAGTGCTGAGGTATAGCAAAAGCATACACAGCTTTATTTTTCATTTCTTTAATATCAAACCCATCCTACTTCCATTTCCAAGGAGCTGCTGCACACCCAACACAATTATTTCATTAATCTCTCCAGATGAAGAGGTATTGCCCCACTCTGGCCCTGTGAAACCCCATTGCTGCCAGAGGGAGCGGTGGGGATTCACAGCAGATCAGGCAAACAGGGCACCAGCCTTTTCCCTCAGCATCCCTGAACACGTGGCAAACAACAGCCCCGCTTTTGCAGGGGTGGAGGCTCCAAAACAAAGACTTTGCCTGACTTCATGCCTGGGAACCCGCCAGTGTTTCTCCAGGTGCCAGCCTCCAGTGCAGCTCGAATCACTCCTCACTGCTCCCTCCAGGCAACTGCTCTGGGGGACAATTTGCAGCTCCTGGAGATGGCTGTAGAGGTCTATGAACTGGCTGGGTTTTGCTGGTCAAATATAAAGCATAACAATTGGTTTCAGGGTCCAAGCACCTCCAGCTGGAAGTCCCCTTTCCTTCTGAGTGAAGGTGCCTGTCACACGGCCGAGCAGCCCTGCTTTCCGTGCAATTGCTCACTGCCTTCAAATACAAGTGGTAGGAGAAGGCAAAAATAAAAGGAACACTGGATGGCAAATATAATAAAGGATCTGTACCGACAGAGAGCCCTCGGTATGACAAAAGCACTTCAAATATGTTTTAGCCAGAAGTGTCAGAAAATCAGTCTTTTGCAAGCATTTCTTCTAATTAGCTCTCTGCAATTCATGAGGCCTTGCGTTGAGCAGACACCTCTCTTCCCCAGCGGAGCTCTGGCTGCTCCTGCAGCCCCACGCTCAATTTGCTCAGCTAAGGGGTACTAATGCTTCAATATGCGGCAGGCATTTTCTTAAATGTTGAAAGACTTAAACAAATTATAACCATCCTATAATTTGGCAGGTTAGAAAAGAAGCTTTTAAAGAGTCTTGTAAAATGAATGACTTAAACCTTCACCCCGGGCTATTTTTAAAATTCATTTGTCTGCACTCCAGCGAGGAGGAAGGCACAAATATATGCATGATCCATGTCTAAAATTTTGATTGCTGAATTAGTTAGAAATAAGCTATGATATCTGTGACTATTAATAAATGATTTGGGGAAATGGTGTTGGAACATTGGTCACTGAAATAGCCACAGCTTCATACCCTTCCTCTACAGAGCAAGAATTGGAATGAGATTTATGGAGGAATTTATGTCAGAGGAAAGAAGCTGTAGCAGACCACCTCCTTGCAGCAGTTTTAATGCCTAATTTACACGCTCCCTTCCACTGCAATGTGTGCACTTTTAATCAGGCTAATTATAAAGTGCCCACTTGTCGTGATGCTACAAATCAAGATATGCAAAAAACTACACAGGAGCTTGCATAAAAAAAATGATGCTGCTCCATCTATTCCATCCCACAAAGCCAGGAGGTGCCTCTGCTATATGTCTCTGCCATCAGCAGTAGTGTGAACTCATGGAACACAGCAAGGACTTTGCCTCAGTTGAGATCTTTGTGGTAGGGAGAATATTTAACCTGGCTCCTTCAGATGTTCTGCAGCAGCGGAGGGCGCTGAGCCAGAGGTTGCTTCTGCTCTGCCACCACGTGTGCCATTGGGGACTGGGAAGGGCTGAGGGTATCAGAGCAGATATTGACAGCATGAACGCTTGCTAAAGAAAACAAGAGATCAACTACTGCCAGAGGAAAGAGAGGTCCTTCACCTTCCCCAGGAAGAAGGAGAATCCTTCACAAGATGTGAATGCATTTTGTGCACGCTTTGGAAAACAAGTTTCTACATAAATAATTGAAAATAGTTTAAAATGGACGTCTGCAATTTCTTGCATAGGCAGACAGACCTCCAAGACCATTTGTCCCTCGTCCTGTTACCTCTATATTAAATCAGTATCATAACCTGTGATTTTTCTGTGTAAGGTTTTTCATGCTAATGTCTTGTTCATGCAATTTGATAAAGGAAACAAGTTTAGAAATAAGCAGTACCCAATGCATATTTTCATTCATAATGAAACAGATCACCACACAAACAACCCAGCTGGGTTTCACATCATTAGTGATAAGAATAAAGATACAAGGACATAAAATATTTTGAGGTTAAAATGTTCTCACAAGCCCAAAGGCTCAATCATATGCTCTTGACCTAGAGAATAAAACAAGATTTAAACAGAACATATGAAATTAGCACTCACTGCCACCAAGTGTAGATCAGACACAATGCAAGGACAATGTTTCAACAGTTAACAAAAGCTTCATAGATAGCATGCATCACCTGTAAGCTTCACCCCAGCGCTGTGTCACCACCCTGTGAGACCTAACCCAGACAAATCGAGGTTAAGCTCTGCATCCAGAATGCAGTGGCCCCTTGCAGCAGCTATGACCCTACTAAGCTGATCCACTTGACATGCACCTTGGCTTACCCTTGGTGATTCCCCTTTGTGACACCTCTTTATCGCTGGGCTGCTCACACACAACTCGGCTGCAGAGTCTCCGCACTTTTCTCCAGTTCCAGTTTCTGGCTCGTGATGCCCCAGCACTGGTCTCCATTCCAGAACACTGGTCTCCACTCCAGCCCCCAGGACAATCCTCTCCACTCATCTCACCCTTGACTCCAGATACTGCAGCACTGTGAGCATCCCACAGATTACATGTTCCACCTAAATCCTGGACCATGCTTCTTACCTGGCTTCCTAGCCTAGGACTAGTCTTACCTGGACCTGGACTTCAGCTTCACAAATTTTGATATCTGTCTCATATTCCATATTTACCTGTTCTCCTCACCAAAAACGTGATCTAGAATCAAACCGCAGCTGAGAACATGTTTCTGCAAATGTTGCATGCTTCATCCTGTTGAAGTATCAAATATATTACTGTAGATGAGAAGGGACTCACCCATCAAAACAGCCTCTGTGTCTGCTCATCTTTCTGCTTAAAAAAACGGATTGATGGTTAACAGCAAGTTATTTTATTGCATTACTGTGGTTGTCAATTTGATATTGATTGATGATAAAACAATTCATCATTACAGAACATACTCGGGCAAAGATGGTATAGCAGAAAGCAATACAGTCATAAGCTTCGTACAGGATAAGAAGTGTAATGAAATGGCAAATTGCTCATCTGTATTCTGAGCGCTAACTATTCCATATCTGTATGAGATGGTGGGAATAATTTAAAGAGTGAGAAATAACAAAATATTCAGACCCCTCTTATTTAAGCATTAAAAAAGTAGAAGGAAATGGATTAGTTTGGTCTTTGAGCCTCAGACACCTGCAGCTGTGCCTGAAGCCTCAGTCATTCTTACCCATTTCCTAAACTAAACAGAGGAATAAGCTAGTCTGTTAGCAAACTAGAAAAATATCAAGGAATCCCAGTGAAGTTTGACTGAAAAGCAACTGGTTGACTCTGGAGGTAATGTTTGCATGTGGTACTGAAGTTCATATCTTAAAGCTTGCTCCTGGTGAAATTACTATGTGTCCAGCACACAGTGAGGATCCGGGGAGAGTCAGTAGGGGGACCCCAAACAAGCCAAATAACAAATTTCTAAGACAAAGCATTACAAATTAGTAAGGAAAATGTTTTCTTTAATAAAAGTAGTAAAGTGGTTATAAAGCCTCAGAATCAAGCCTGCTAGACAATTTGCATTTTACTGCACAAAAGACCAAAGGCCTTAACAGACAAGTCAGCGTGCAATGACTGTGCCTACAGGAAGCTTTGTTACAAATCCATCTTTAAAAAAACCCGCCTCTTTGACACACAGCTGTTTTTTGCTCCAGGGGTATGAAACCATCTAGAATTCCCTGTCCCCATATGTTTTTTACAAGTTTGACAGCACAGAAGCCCTGGCAAACCTTAAAAATAGTTCAGCAGTGTAATCCAAAGGTAAGTCTTACTAGAAGGCCTGTTCTACTGCGGTCAAACAAAACAAGAAGACAAGGCAGAAATCCACTTGCTCCAGACAGTGACCTTGACCTATGCTGCAAAGACCAGCACACAGTCCTTCAGAAAGAGGGCACAGCCAGGAATGGGCCAAAGATGCTCCCTGAGCTGTGACAAAGCAAACCTCAGTGAACAAGTGGGAAGAAACGCAGGATAATCCACTGCTTTTGAGACAAAGCAGCTTGACTATGTGAGTCCTCCATGGTCCTGCACAATCGAGAAGATTTAGCTCACTGCTCTCATCACAGCTCTGGATCATTACATCATCTTAAAAGGTGGCAAACTCTTGCAGATGGTATAGGCCCTTGTCTACTCTATGTAGACCATGAACATTGTGGTCCCAGAAAAGGGATGGTACAGGACTTCTGTCAAGGTGTTACAACATCATGTTATGGCCTCAAAGACAAAATGAAGTCATGCCTAATGCCAGATTTCTGGAGTTGGTAGTTTCCAGATAATTAGTCTTCTCTAAACAATAGTTGTAGTGACTTCAGGCAAGACCTGACAAAAGCACCAATGGACACAGAAACATGTCATCCAAAAGCATGAAACATCTCTGCCCTGGCCTTTTGTTGTTGTTGTTGTTGTTGTTGTTCCTCTTTCAGTAGAAAGATCAAAACTATTTAGCAGGCTATTAACCAGTTCTCAGATTAAGAAACACCAAAACCATGCAGGGGGATGGAATGGCCCTAGTAGTCCACCATAACCTTGAGTTCAAGGAAGCCTGACTGATTTTTTTTTTTCACTTCAACTTCCCCTGTATTTCTTCAATCACAAATCTTTAAGCCCAAAAGGATATTTATGCACAGTTTTAAGCAGTACAGTACACCACTCATCAATTTTCTCCCATTTTTCCATTTTGAAATTGGCACTGGATTGCAAAAGCTGGAGAGATAAAGAAAACATTGGACCAGTACTTGCTGAAGGTCACCTGACTAATATGGATGAAGAAAAAGTGAAGTCACTGAATGCTTTTTTTTTGCCTCAGTCTTTACTAATACTGACTGACCTTCAGCTGCCCAGGCCCCTGAGACAGAGGACCACAAGTACAGGAAGAGAGACTTTCCATTTGTGGATGCTGAAATTGTAAGGGACCAGCTGTATCAGCTGAGTGTTCACCAGTCCATGGGGGCTGACAGGATTCAGCCAGAGCACTGAAGGAGGCAGAGGTTGCTATGGCAGGACCCCTCTCCATCAGCTGCCAAAGGTCTGGGGATGACCCTGCTGACTGCAAGCCAGCTGATGCTATTCCAGTTTCAAGAAGGGCATGAGGGAAGACCCAGGGAACTACAGAGCTCTTAGTCCAACCTTCAGTTGCTGGAAAAATTAGGGAGAAGATCATTAAGATTTCTGCTACACATGACAGGAAATGTTTAAAAAAAAATGTCTACACTTACATATATAGTCTTGTAAATCTGAGAAAATGACCTTATGTTCTCAACAGGGACATAGAAGACTAAGGCTCTGAGCTTGCTGCTTGCTAGAGAAAGCCAGGAACTGACTCTGTCTCCTGCACCCTCAGTGCAGGACTTACCCAGCAATCATTTCCCTAACATTCTGTGCCCAGGTAGTGTCAGTTCTCTTTGCACACTCATTCTGAAATACTGCAAAATAGGTAGCCCTTTTGTTTCCAGAAAGTAAAACTTTCCCAGCATCACCAGCACTAGGGTAAAGAGGGAAGAACAATGCAACCACAAGATGCAGAAAGGCAGCAGTCTGCTGTAAACAAGGACCAGTAGAAAACATATACACTTAATGAGCTTAATTAGCAGCAACATAAAATCCATCATAAAACACTTGCTCTAAGACCAAGGGAACCAATAAGATTTCCAGTAGACCTCTGATAGAGGGCATTTACATATAGTAACAATCCTGGTGGACATGCTCTCTAAGTTGCTTACACATACATAGATGGCCAGCCTGAAATGATTGTGGGTTTTGTGGTTTGTGGGTTTTTTTTTCTCCTTCTCCTTAACGTGGAGAAGCTTCATAAAAAACTGAGTAAGAAAGGCAAATAAGAGGGACAAGAAAAAACCATCAGGACAACAGCAATTAGTTTGTTTGGAAAAGAAATCAAAGCAGCTTTACAGGGACTTTCAAACCCCTACATGCCTGACGTGTGCCTGCAACAGGCAAGGGGAGCTTTGTCAGCAGGGAGAGACCCCAACACCCCGCTGCACTGTGCCATGAGCCCTCTCTGGGGGTAGTTCCCCCACTCAGGAATCCCCCCCCGCATCCCCCTGTGCCTCCAGGATTGACACCAGCATCCCCTTGCCACTCCCATCCCAGGCAGCGCCCTTCTTCACCCCACACAACACATCCTGACCAAAAGAACAGGTTTGGGGAGGTATTTTTTTTTCCTCCTCAAAAAAAACCAATTAATACAGTGTGATTAAAACAACAAGCGCTTCTGACAGATCAAATCAACAGTTTTATTTTCACCTGTTAAAAGAACTGTTTGCCTACCAGCAGAGTCCAACATAGATGGGACAGACAGACATGAATACAATTAAATACAGGAAAAATTGAACTATATACAACAAGACATACATTTACATAACGAAAAAATCTTTATATTATCTAGCAGTTCTTGCCAAAGTGAAACAGCACTGGAACTCAAATGTATTGCGTGTTTTTTTTCCCCCCTCTCTATATAAAGCATGTAATGCAATTTAGTATTTTTCCATGTACTGAGACTTAAAATTGAGATGCACAAAATTTGTGGCACTTCACAGGGTACACAAAAGCTAAAAACTTCCTTGTTAAATATTTTATAGTTTGTGATGTCTAAATTTGAATTAGATCTCTTTATTGAGACACAAACTATAAAGTGATATTTACATGGAGGGAGTTGTGCAAAGTCATTTTAGGCTATGGCTAGGACACTGTGAAAGATGCATGGATACGTGACTCGCCCTCCTCCCAGAGGCAATCTCTTAAATCTTCTTATCCTCCCTCTCCTACAGGAGCTACCCAAGGAAAACTGGCCATAATTTCCCACCCCCCACACCCCCCCCCTTTAAGTACCAGAAACAGCAGAAAGCTGTTTCTGTGGCCCTTAAGTATCCTGACAGTTTTAATGTTGGGCTGCTTCTCTTCATGCAATTAACGCTTTAAGCAATCTTTAGCATTGTTTCATCGGTTATCTGCTTTTTGGGACTCGAATGCCAGCCCTTGTCACTGCACTACTCTAAGACTGCTGTAGTCCTTGCTTGTAGGTTGTATTACCAATGGGAGCACACAGTAACTCAACATGTGTAACTTTTTAGCAGTTATACTGCCACAATGCAGAAACTGCATATTCCGGATAAGAGCACCAAACCAAGGCTATTCCAAACCAGGGTGGGAAGGTATCGCATTCCTTAAACTAACCTTGATGGAACAAAACTCTTGTCTGTATTACTACATCTAGAAGCATCCCCCAACATCCTAATTAAAAAAAACCTTGAGTTTTGGGTTGTAATCTTCAATGCAGAACTTGAGACAGCTAATTAGAAGAGCTGCTTTAGCTGAAGGCTTCCTACAGACCCCTCGGACAGGTTAGCAAACACATCAGATACCAATGTTAAGTAAACGCAGCCTACAACTGTGCTGCACCAGAGTGGTGCTTCTAGTGGTTTTCATAACCAACTGACTGTCAACAGTGTCCAAATTTAATTTTGGACTTTTTCACAGATGCAGCTACTGCAGATGTGGATCATAACATACTCTTTTTTTATCATCTCACCTACATGTAATTACTGTAATTACATACTGTTTATATCACCTCACCTGGGGTTCCACATCAGCTTGCAGATTTTATCTGTAACAGGTTTAAAGCAGACATTTCTAACTCAGTCCTGGAAAAAAATAAAAAGGGGGGGACTGCATAAACCTATGTATTCCTGCTTTGATAGGGGAATTTTCTCTCTCTTAGGACATGTATCTGACTTCTTTCTTAAAAATGCACATTTAAAGGAAGCTGGACAACCCTCAAGGCAAAGGGAGATTAAACTTCTCTCTCAAAAGCTGCCAAGTCAAGATTGATACCAAACATCTTTTAAAGCCTCCACTTCCTAAACCCATGGCAATACATTTTAATTCTATACACCAGGGAAAAAACAGTCAGGTGTCAGTATAACAAGTGAAGAGAACAGCAAAGTGAACACACAGAACTTTAAGCATGATGCTGGGTACACTTGATACTGTAAGAAGATCTGTAGGTAGTTTGGTATTCAGCTGACAAGAGGACAGCATAGAATTTGCTTCTCATTCATCACTAGCAAGCCTAGAGAAGACTATGTCCTCTTTAGTTATCATGAGAGAGCGCAATAGAATAGTAGTAAACCCAAGAGACCATCTCATCATGTTAGAAAAGAGATTCAGTGTTGTGGTTTAAATACAGGAATTCATGGCAGTTAAAACATTCAAAGAAGTATTTTCACATTGTACACACTGCAATCTGTCTACGTTCTTTTGATCTCATGGAGTTCATAAAGACATCTACATGTTCAAGCCTTCTGCTTAAAAAAACGGATTGCTGGTTAACAGCAAGTTATTTTATTGCATTACTGTGGCTGTCAATTTGATATTGACTGATGATAAAACAATTCATCATTACAGAACATACTCGGGCAAAGATGGTATAGCAGAAAGCAATACAGTCATGAGCTTCTTACAGGATAAAAAGAAAAGTGTAATGAAATGGCAAATTGCTCATCTGTATTCTGAGCGCTAACTATTCCATATCTGTATGAGATGGTGGGAATAATTTAAAGAGTGAGAAATAACAAAATATTCAGACCCCTCTTATTTAAGCATTAAAAAAGTAGAAGGAAATGGATTAGCTGCTTCCTTTCTGATATAGGCTGCTGGTCTAGTTTAGAGACAGTCCTAATTTAACACTAGAATGAGGGACATGACAAGCAGCAGCTTGGACCATAAAAAAAGCGGTCTATATATGTACAAGTCATTCTCAAAAAAACCCACTTTTATTTGGATGTGTGCACAACCTGCTGCTCTTTAAATCTTCAGAGCACTGAAAACATGACATTTTCCCCAAAAATCCAGTTGAGTCTGTCCTGAGAAACACAAGTACTCATATATAAATGGGATGATATTGTCTGTGAGTGAGTTTCTTCCTGCAGGTTGGGCAGGAGTTGGCATTCCTAAGGGAATCGCGGAGGCACTGGCTGCAGAAAACGTGGCCGCACTTGGTTGACACAATCAGACGTCCACTCTGCACAATCTGGAAGAGAAAAATCCACAACAGAAATTTGGAGTAGGGAATTCAACTGTGCTGGTCTCTTGGCACCAGGCAAATAGGACTGGGCGTATCTGGAATCAGTACATTACTGCAATAACAATAAGGAACACTAAGATCTTTATTTCAGTGCCCTCCCGGGAAGTGTTTCTCTCTCTACACGCACCACTAAGAAGTATCTTGGAGTTACAAGCTGGCTTGACCTTCAAACCAAGGTCTGTACTTCAGGCTGGCACGTAACCCAGCAGAGCTGCGCTGCTCATCCTCTGCCCCATCTTCCCTCCAACAAAAGACCCAACAGCAACAGGTGGATCCTTACCTCCGAGTAGCCATCCATGCAAATCGGACAGCTAACGGTACCAGACGGCCTTGCGGTGGAGAGAACAAAACCAGAAAGAACATGCATCCATTAATGTCACCGTGCATGAAGGGTTTCCGATACATGAAAAGTCACATAATCACCTGACTGCACAGGCTAGCCATGATGCATTTCATCTGCAGTTCCCTGCATACTTTAAACTCTCTCAGTCTGTTGCATTTAATAAGTAGTCAGGGTGTCCTTTAGGTAAAGGAAACAACATCTTGGTTTCCATTAGGGGGAAGGTGCTGTTGGCCACCCTGCTCTATTATGACAAGTAACAGGAGTCTACAGGTCTGTGCAGTGTACCTATGATAGTGTTAATTTTCAACAGGTCATAAATACGAGGTTTATGACAAAAGCATCTAGCTGTCCTTTGGAAACTATTCTTTCTGTAAGGGAAAGAGCTTGTCCAAAATTAAAACATCCCCTATTCCAATTTAGCAACGTCCCAGCCCAGTAACATATTCATACTAAGAACTCTTTTCTTAAACACAGGGCAGGAACAGCCTACTGTGAGGAAATTCGCAGAAATAAATTTCTACTTTAGAGCAGGACAAACTTGGTGGCTAGTACCACCAGAGAGGTACCTCGCCTGCCTTCAGCCAGCAGGACAGCTGTATTACATCCACACTTACTAAAAGACATAGCTAGTCCGTGTAAGGAATATGGCACACCATAAGTGCTGACTAATGTTCTCTATCAGAAAGAGCTTCCTGCCACTCTTACAAATTCACCTCCATTTCAAATGATCACAGTAAGCTGCTTTCATAAATCTTTACCATATGCACTTGGTGCTGTTATGTCACCACCTACGCCAAGCAACAGTTTGTAATTTATTAAACAGGAAAAGAAAGCATGAGATATCTTTTATCCTGTGAAGTCAGTCAGTGAGCACTACTACCTTCTATCCCCTAGTTTCACATACATAATTTAAGTTCATTAATTCTCCCATTTTTACTGCTCAAATTCTTTATGAAGCAGCTATAATACCAACTCAGTAATTAATTACAATTGATGATAACCCTCATATAAGAGTAGACTAACATCACAGAGTAACTCTGTAGATGGCTCTGTGGCAATCTCCAGCATGAGTACCTTTCTATCAATATTAACTGCTGCAGCACTAAGCTCTTTCAGCCTTACCTAAACAAAGTAGGAAGTCACATTCTTTAACAGAGAAGCTTGAGATTGGTGGAACAAAACTTTGTTTTTATATTAACTAATTAGTGGGATTCATTCAGCTACATACTTAACCACTAAAATTGAAAAAAAATCTACAAATCCATTGGCAAAACACACTGTTTTAGTACAAGCCCTTCAGGTGGCATAAAAGCCTGGCACCCAAAATTTCCATACCCAAGTTCTCTCCTACATTGCCTTCCGGTACCCTAAAAGGTTCAAAGCACCTTGACTTAATAATTAATACCTGTATTCCCCACTCCCTCAAACACTTAAAAAATACTTATACCACAATTCTCATGTTCTCTGTCTTCCCTACTCACATGGACACCTGATTTCATTTAATTAATCTAATACATCACATCGTTATTAACACAATGGAGTGCTCCTCCAGCAGAAGTTCATTGTTTCTCTGCAGAATGGGGTCTTTACCATGCAGGCACCTGACCCAAACAGCAAGATCACCATCTCATATGCAAAACTGCCAGAGCTCCATGACATACATGGGACAGAACAAGGCCCATAACAGTATTACCTCCACAATCTCCTTGCAAGTATGCCAGGCTGCTGCCTGCTGGTCTTGTGATACCAAGTCTCATTGACATCAATGAAAATATTTTCATATCTAACATCACTACTAGAGCTTATCATGAAAAGTGCAATTACGAGCTATGGCCTGGGACTAACCCTCCTTCCCTGACATACCCCCACACTCATCTTTAAGGTTGTATGCAAAGCTGTAGATCTGTCCTGGGCTGCCTTTGAGTCCTCAAGTTCAAACAGTATCATTTGGCCATCATGCAAAATGTGATGTACTCATTGAAAAAAGGGAACTAGAATAAGTTAAGACTTCAAAGATAAGACAGACTATAGCAATATAGTTTAGTCCTTAATGTATAAGAAAAACAAAATTCAATGTTTGGTAGGCCATAAGGCATACATACTTTGAACTTGCAGTTTCATCTTCCAGTGATCCCAATTCTTGAGACACTTTATCTGTCATGTACACATCGTTATCTCTTGTTTCATCTTCATCATCACTACTCAGTACACAGCTGTCAGACTGTCGCTGGCTTCTTAGTCTAAGATTTCTCCTTTGTCGTTGATTCTCTGTAATTTAATTTTGGTAAGTGAGATATATATATCTCCCTGGATTTATCCTTGAAATGCATGATTATAAATAGTCTGTAACGGTTCATGTTTTAAATGGATCACACTTAGCTGGGTTAAAAACAATCCTAAATGAACTAGTTTCCTAAATATTAAGACTGAACACTAGCAGACATTGTGAATATTCTGCTACACATTAGCACAGAACATTTGCTCTATGCACCTTACAAACAGCTAAACATCGTCTTAAAAGATTCTCGGTATCATGTTTCATATAGTTACGCTACCTGTGAATAAGTCTCCCCTATAAAGGGAAGCTACCTCTCCTGATTCTTAGAGAATGCTACAATACCATGTCAAGAAGCTGCAACAATTGCTGGGTGATGGGAGGGAGGGAGGGAAAGAGGGAGGGCTGAAGTCAAGTTTCTGAGTAGCATGACAAGGTCGCAGATACACAACAGAAATGCCTGGTAAAACACAGAGTGCTTTGTTCAGAAAGTTTCAGAAGTGATGGAAGAGATACTTAAATCTAAAAATTATAGAGCTGCTGTGGTTCCTCACTGCTTTATGCAGGCATGATGCTAAACTGTACCATTTTGTCTGTGGTACTACTTTCAGCACTGTCTCCTTAGACGTTTTCACCATCTTCCTCCCGAGTTAAGGTAACTTGAAAATGGAGTTATAATGCCCAAGATAAAAGGAGATAAAAAAAAAACCCAACAAACTGCCTGGTCTGTAACATCCAAAGGTTATAAAGAATTGCTATTTGCTTTTTAACAACTAGAAACTGCATGATTTATCTCTGCAACTCCCATGTACATGTAACAATAATCAAGCACTAATCAATTAAAATTACAGAAATCACCACAAAATTAAAGTTCCTTCCTGCATAAGTACACAGCTGCAACTTCTACTGCAACTATTTTTTACTTGCTCTTCTTCCATTCAGAGCACAGAACAGATTATATTCTAAGTAAGCAGTGAACAACATACCAATACATCTCAGGTATCATAATCAGAACAAGGTCTGAAAGGTGTAAAGGATTAACTTCTTAAAACTTATAATTATTACACCACCTAAACTGGAGAAAAATCTACACTTGTTAATACTACTCAGTACAAAATCTGAGATGTGTTAGACTAGATAATGAAAGGGAATGCTATAACCACAAATAACTAAGTTTCTTCACTGCAATACAGGCATTTGTTTTTATTCAAAGCAGACATTCCAGTGCTAAAAAGTGACAAAATTTTTGTCCAATTGGGGCTTACAGAACTTCTCTGTTTGGAAAGTAAGAACACATATTGTGAAAAGTCTGGATATATTTTGTTTCAGCTACTTTCTACAAGCTCTGATAGCAATTATCAAACATGGATGGGATCTCTTCTCTAAGACACTGCCCAGATACTTTAGCACTGTCCTTTGCCTTTTGGTAAATGCAGTTTCAACTTATTCTGCTTGAATTTGGTGGAAAGGACAAAAACCAACCCCAAACCCCCAACTTTAGGACAATTCCATTATCAATTGTAAAACATCAACTCACCTTCAACAATCTTGCATCAATATATATGGTAAGGGAGAGAAAAGAAAATACAATTAGACTTTGGTGTGCACCCCTAGTGTTACATCCAAACACCAGATAAGCTAAGCAATTACAACTGAACAAACCAAGAATGGCAAGGTAGCCCGCTCTTGGTTTTGATTAAAAATGTTAGAAGTAGCAGTAACTTAGCTGCTGCTCTGAAAACAAGTGGTTGCTTCTGGTTCTGCTCACACTGCTGCCAAGGGACAGAAATGGAGGCAGCTTATGAACCACCTGAACACCCTCCTCCCTGCTCCCCAGTTTCAGTATTCATCAATCTATTTTACATTACCTTCTCGCTATTTCCAAGTGCGCATCCAGAGCAGCTTCTGTGTTGACCTGTCATACGTGACTTTCACACACTGACAAGTCAACTTCGAACTTAAACTTATCCTTAAAGCCAGATCTTACCAGGGACCACAACAGAAAACTAACCTGACTACAAGATTTAGATAAGTGTGCCATTCACGACTTACCACAACAGAATCATTGTGAGTTAGATCAACGACTACAGGTTCAGAAGATTCACATGTGAGATCTACTACTTCTTCACCAGCTGAAAAAAAGAAAATGTTAGAATCAAGATCAGAGATCACAGAGGAATAAAATTCCATTACGAACCAGGCTGAGGTAGATTCAACCTTGCTCTATCCCTCTTCTCTTCAGGAACATATCCAACATTTCACTCAAGCTTTGCCCTCAAAAGTCCATGTATAGCATTACCATCACTGTTTTCTGCAAGTTGCAATGTGAGAGGAACAGCAGCTGAGCTCCTCACACAGTTTTGTTGTATGAAAACAGCTCGTGGGAGGTACACAGCAACAGATTATTCAGCTGACATAGGTGAATGTTCATCATACAGAGTAAAACATGAATCCTATAAGATAAAATAATTTCACAATACTATGCTGTTAACATTCCCTTGAGGGACAGGGCACGACTAATGGCAACCTTTAAATTATCTTCTTAAAACCCAGGAATTCCCAAACTTTGCCACCATATATAGTGGCAGCTGCAGTGACTCCCAGCTCAGAGTAGACATTCAGAAGTTTGAGCAGCGCCGGAGTCCCTTTCTTATACAACTCATCTATCACTAGTGCTGAAGGTAATGCATCTCAGAACAAAGAAAACCAGTTGTCCGTAGGCTTGCTGTTTACAGATGCCATACTAGATGCTTTTTAAAAGAGTAAACAGCCTAGAAACTGGTGAACACATGCCTTAAATTGCTTCTAGAGAGTTGGGGTTTCACTTATGTTCTTACTGAGTTAAAAAGCAAGCTTACCGCTTTCTTCAAGTTCTATTGGCTCAGCTTCTGAAGCCATTTCTGCAGTAGAAGCCATCAGCCTGTTTCGTTTCCAAGCTTGCCTGGAATTAACTGTTCCTCCACGGCGCTTTCGTTGAGTCTAAGAGAGAACAAAGCCTTAGCATTCTATTGAGGAGGAATATTAATGTAGCCCTCACCTTTGCAGCACCACTGAAAGCACACAAGAATACTCCAAACACTCCCTGGAAAGGCTCTAATATGCATCAAAGGGCGGTATGGGTCATTCCTGCCTGGACACATTGTATCAAGGACAAAACATCACTCCAGATGTCTTATCAGTTGGCTCACAAAGAAAAAACATATAGTGATGGTTTGCAAATTGGAAGACTAGTTCACAGTTGTATCAGATGCTAGCTTGCAGCCAGCCACTGCAATCACTCTGACCTAGGGTTTTTACCCACATTGTAAGCATTTCTGAACTATTCTAGCACCTAGAGAGATTAGAAACCTAAAGTATCACAGAACATGAAGTTTTAATATGCTTATGTTCCAGTGTATTCACTACAAACTCTTAAAATAATTTCTAAAAGTACCACAAAAACATGTTTTAAGAATCAGGTTTGCACTGAGTAGTAAAATACTTACTGTGCTCATGGTGTTTCTTGCTCTAAAACCACAGAAAAAGTAAGAAAAGTACAAACACCAAAATAGTAATTGCAAGGAAGCTACAAGTCTCCTTATAGTCCTTTTGGTAGCACACTTCAGGAGTCCAGATTTCTCAGGGTCTGAGAACAATGTTCTTCCAAACCTATAAGAAAAGAAGAGAGAAGATTACCTATTGGGAATGCTTGTCCTCTTAAACACACCCCCCCCTCTCCAAGACTCCCATGCCTGGGGCACCAGTTTCTGTCCAAAGCTAGAGGGGAAGTCCCAGAGTTTGGTCTTTGAGCCTCAGACACCTGCAGCTGGGCCTGAAGCCTGTCATTCTCACCCATTTCCCAAACTAAACAGAGTAACAAGCTAGTTGGTTTGCAAACTAGAACAATACTAAGGAATCCCAGTGAAGTTTGACTGGAAAGCAACAGATTGACTCTTGAGATAATAATGTTTTCATGTGGGCAGGAATCATTGGGAATTGTGTCATAAGCAGCCATCTTCAGAGAACAAAAAATTCCACATAAACACAGTTCTCTTCTCCAACCCATCTCCAGATTCGAACAGGTGGGAGCTGAACAGCTCGAGAAGAATCTAAAGCAAGCGCAGCAGAGAAATTTCAGTTTAGAATACTCACAGATCTGCAAGAGATTACAAGTTTACAGTAGCTACTCTGTGATAAGTGTAGGTGTACAAGCCCCTGCCCACCAGACAGTGAACTGCTAAGTGGAAATAACTGCATTAAGGCACATATGAGTAGCTGATATGGTACTGAAGTTCACATCTTAAAGCTTGCTCCTGATACAGTTCCCTGTCCAACACACAAAGATGACCTGAGGTGGGTGGGGAGGAGGGGGAGATAGTAGAGGGACAAGGAAAAAAACAGTGATGTTAAGAATGCAGAACTGTTTTCCCTATGCTGACCTTGATCTACATTGCAATGGCCAGCATACATACTATTAAACTATTCTCAGATTAAGAAACATGGAGACCGTGCAGTAAGATGGCGTGATAGTGGTACTGAATCATAACCTTGAGTTAAAGGAAACCCAACTGATTTTTTTCCTCTTAAACTTTCTCTTTTTATTTCTTAAGTCAGTCACTTTAAGAGACCCACTAACACTGAATTGTGACATTGTTGAAACAAAACATGCTTGAGAAAAATCTTTACATTAAATTCAGTACTTTTACTAAGCCCAAAAATATTTCTGAACAGTTTTAAGCAACACAATATGCCACTCAAATTTCTCCCATTTTTTCACTTTAAAACCGGTACTGGATTGCAAAAGCTAAAATTTAAGTCAACGTGCTTTGCTTGCTTTTTTTTTTTTTTTTCCCCCCTCAACTTGGACCACTTGCTATATGCCAGACAACTATCACTGAGGCCCCAGGCAGATTCTGGTCACAGTAGATGAAATTTTCAGAACTGTTATGCATAACTCCTCCTCCCAATATTAGCCCTATCAGTTTCGATTGTTTTAAGATTTTAAAATGTTTTTTAAAAAAAAAACTTATATGTATAGTTTTCTAGAGTTTTTTCTTGCAAATGTGAGCAATAGCCTTATGTTCTCACTTGGGATAAAGATGACTAAGGCTCAGAGTGTACTATCAGAGAAACCTGAGAGCTGACTTCTAGTCTCCTGCCTCCTCAGTGCAAGACTCACATACACAACCATTTTCATAATATTCTGTATCCAGGTACTCTTTGCACACTCTACCCCACTGTGCCCAAGGTCTAGATTTCATTTCACCTGCTAAGTAAGAAAGCTTTTCTGCCAGCCTTACCGACATTCTTGGGAAGATCCTATTTTACTCACTTCACTGAATTTTTGTCATAGGGAACAAGAACTTTTAAAACAAGACCATGTCTAATTCTGCACTCATACAAAACAAACCAGAGAAACTGTTCTGTGAGCGTGTTTTCAAGATTCTATATGAGTTCCTTGCTCCATATGATTATTATTCATAGGTTGGAAGGTTTTTGGAGACAAAATGAAAGGGCAGTGAAGCAAGGAGAACACACAGCACAAGGAATGAAGGATCAGGGCAAGAAAGAGAATCATCCCCAAACCTAGTACATCTGCTCTTTGACACTAGTTGCTCAAAGACAAGCTACTATCTTCACCTAACAGCTGTAACAAACTTGGGCAAAGCAGTTTTATGCACACAACAGGAAGATGAACAAGACTGAACTACGTAAGAGGTATATTAAGAAGTTATGCCATTAGATTTTTTTAAGTTTATTTCATCAAGAAGGCCAAGAGACATGTTCCCCAATTCTCCTCAGATATGGAACTGGAAAAAATACTTGGACATTAAAAAGCTGGGAAATGTTACTTGGTACATGCATCTAGCTAAGGGTTATAAAGAAATAAATGTTATATAAGCTTAGTTTGAACTACAAGTTGTTAGAATAGTTTTAAAATATTATTTAGAGAAATCTAATACACTGATGTATCTGCACTGCTGAAAGACAGAAAAAAACAAGTCTGATGTATTCACTAGAACAGCACAGTTTTGGATGTAAAACACCCACAAGACCTGGTGCTTTTCAAACTTAACACTGAATACAACCCAGTCCAATGGTATGCTGACAATGTATCTTTAGAAAGGGTTAAAAATATGGGGCAAGCACCTGGGATGACTCCAAACACAAAATGTTGCACAGATTCTCTTTGTCCACAAGTGGCTTAAGTGCCAAAACACTATCACAGCAGAAAAAAAGACCCAACACCACCACACCACCCCCAAAACAAATGAAAAAAACAAGCAAACAGACCTGTCCTGCTAAGACCACCTTACTCACGCACTTATTGACCAAGATACCAAGGAACAGATTATTTATGATTACTACATGTCTCAAAGGATCTAATATCAGACCTCAAAGGCAACGCAGGACAGAGCCACTTCTTGAACTAAGTGACAGAGAGCACCATTGCTATTCAGATGGTTTAATTTTTAGAATCTTCCAACATTGGCAGTAGGCTTTCTTTATACTTAATACAAGTACACATAAGGCACAAATGTTTTGGATGCTAATGGCTCAAATCTTAACCTCTTCAGAAGCTTCCTCTGAAGAAGCAAGTTGATAATGGACACCCACAGGGAAGCTCCTCACTGTAACACCACCTTGTAATATATCACGATAGGCAGGTTCATCAGTATCAATATGACACAACTCAAAGTCATGTTGATAAAAATCAGACTGCTGGAATTTATTAAGACCATGGAAGGAGTCTCACGATATGATTATTGTCTTGGAAAAACAAACCTCTTCTGTGGGGCTATAGATTTCCTTGTGTTATTGTCTTACTCAGGAAACTTCACTGAAAGGTAATAACCTGAACTGTAAGAATACGTAGCAAAAATAAAGCAAGTTTTACTTTCTTTAATATACTACAGATTAAGTTAGAAGCGAACAAGAACAGAACAAAACAGTTCCAAGTTTTGCACTTTTAGAGGCACAGTCATCAATAAGAACCCCTGAAGGATCTTCAAAACCTCAGGACCACTGAATTTAATATTTGTTATGCAGGACTGGATAGCCCAAATTAATTTATAAGGTCTATATACCCCTCCTCCACCAGTCGCTATGAAACCCAGCACTAAGACTAGACAATAATAGAGTTCCAACATCAACCTCCCCCCCACCCATAAGCAATCAAATAACTCCAGCTGAAGCTGTTAGTGAGCTCATCTCTTACACTTGTAGCAAGATGCATATTAAGATTTTTTTTAAAACTAAAAAAAAATTCATGTGAAAACTTAGCAACCAATATATACTGTCAACTTTTTTTTTTTTTTTTTTTTTTTTTTTTTTTTTTTTTTTTTTTACAGACTTTTTATTGCATCACTGCAGGATGATAGTGCCAGAAGCCGTTCCCCCTTCCTTGCATACAGATAGCTCCACACATGCAGTTATTGTTCCTGTCATTTAGCTCTCCCAAGGGCTTAAGTAGTGTTATCCTTGTAACAACAAAGCCCAAGATTTATTCTAACTCACTCACTGGCATATGAAGGTCTACATCCACCAATCTTTCTCTGTACAGATAGATACTTGAGAAAAATAAATTTAAAGCAAATTAAATTAAGAATGTTTACACTAAGAGACTGTTGATTCCCATATTAATCATTTAAGTCTCCTGTTAAAATGTTTTCCTCTATAAAAAAAGTTTACATTTTCACTAAGTTCAAGTTAACCTAATTTAACGTGTTTATATTACAATTGCAAAAAAATGGATTCTCTGGATAACAAACTGAAAACTTTTCTTGTACCACTCTGAAAGCAGTCTTGGTCTCCCCACATGCTTGACATGAATCAAGGCAAATTAGCTTAGGCAAAAAGTAGACATTTTTTACCATGTCTCACTAACACAAAGCAGACTTTACTTCATAATCAGCCTAAACATTGCAAATACAGTAATGTAACTACTTGAAGATAGCAGTAATGTCAGTCTAGATACTTGGTTTGTGCAAGGCAGAGGTGATAAAAGCAGTATACACTGTATTTGTCAAAGCATGATATGCTATGCCTTTAAGACTTTGCAAGGAAAGGTCCTAAGTGAAAAGCACTCATAACAACAGGAAACACAATATCAAAGATGTAGCACTTATAAAAAAAAAACCCTTTCTGTAGTCAGAAAAAGCACCTACCAATCACAAAGTGCTAGTCTTCCCCCCCCCGGGAACAGTAATCTGCCATTTTACTCTTTCAAAACTTCCCTATCATGTATTTCCAGCACCTTTAAAGACATTCTCGTCTTTTCAGATGTACTACAATAACTTTAGTGAAAACAGATGCTTAATCTATTATGTTCTATCCAAATTAGGTCAAGCAGACTTATAAAATAAAAGCTTGGCGAGAGGCACTATAAAGAGTAAAGATGAAACATAAACAGCCTGCCATAGAGATATACTAGCCTGCCTGGTCTACACAGTCAGCTACATCTACAGACAAATAAAACATACGATTATGAGCAGCCTAAAAAACAACACCAGGCTGGGGGCGGGGCGTGCGTGCGGCCTGCGCGGGGTTCCCGCGGCCTGCTCCCGCCTCACGGCGCGGCTGCGCTTGGAAACTTGTGCTCAGCTCCGGGGGTAGTGCTGTCCTGTCGGACGCTGAAAGCGGTGGCTGAAGCAGGACTGTGCTTTTGCTGGGTTCTGCAGCGTTGCTGTACCGGGAGGAGGAGGTGTGTGTGAGCTCTGGGGGTTCCCTCCCTGCCTGTGCCAGTCCTCTGGAAATGTTTCCAATGCACTGAGCAACAGTCACCAGAACCATCGATGTGGGAGATGGTTACCTGTAGCATAATTAGCCCAGATCCACACTTGCAAAGGTGTTTCAGTGCCCTCACCTCACCATCAAAAAGGGTTTTTCCCATCTGCTTTGCCTTAACGCAAAGATCATCTGGTATTTTTTTGATCTCGCTGCCTCATGCCCAGCTGCGTGGCTGTTTGTAGAGAAACTTATTCTGGGTGATTTTTCTTGCCTTCTCTTCCCCTGGGTAAACACTACTTGACATTTGTACTAGATATGTTTTTTTTTGCTTGCCACATAACTGTCTCTGTGTCTTTGGTTTCATCTAAATATTAAAATATCTGTGCTCTCTAGCGCAGGTTGGATTACCTGGCCAGGCAGTCACTGAGCCTGGGCTTTTCCTCATGACTGGGGCTGATGCAGAGGAGGGAGCCAAGTACCACCCAGCAGCAACTCCGCTACATGGGGTAAGCACCCTGTGTCTGATACTCCTCACAGGGCTGAAACCCCTCAGTCTTCCTCAAGTAATCTGGGCCTCGTTACACCTTGTTATACCGTAAGTTGCATGTGAAGGCTGTTGTGGTCTATCCATTTACACTGAAATAAGAGACCTCTGGAATGCCAGCTTTTGCCACTAAAAGAGTTTCTTAATGAGTCTGGCACTAAGATCAGACAGGTGAAACCTCTGTAAGTCTGTTTTGTCAGATGATTTAAGTCAGGCTTGTACACTTGACCTTCATCTTCTTGGCTGTAAAGAGTGTAACAAATGTGTAAATGAATGAATTGTTAATTTATTCATCCACCAGTGTTTCTGTGAAGGTGGCTTAACCAGGTTGCAGGTGGTAATTAGCTGAGGGAGCAGTGTGAAACGCAGCTGTACTGCTTCAAAGCTCACCTGGCTCCAATGACATTACTGCAGCTTTTGTAATATAAAGCTAACACGTCCCGCTAGACCTTTGGTGGCTCTGCATTGGATCACCTCAGGTTGTTGAGTACCACGTGGCTGGAACAGGAATACTTGAAGACGTGTTCTAGTGGCCAGAGGCAGAGTGGTTCCAGATAGGATCTGCTGCCTCTAACATCAAGTTATCCATGTTTGTCAGGAGGAATGTGGTATTTTTAATATTGTTCTATGTATTCTGTCACAAGACCTGCCATCACTGACAAATCAATAGGCTATATTGATATGAAATTATAAATATTGCTGATTTATAGCAATATTTATATTTGTCTTTATAAATATTGATACTTATCAATAGCAAAGTATCAATATTGATATAAAAATATTTATAGGAATATGTTGATGTTTTCCCCGGAATACTCACATTCTCTTATGTTCCTCAAAACACTGATTCTGAGGATTTTATACATCAGATCCTAAAGTAGCAATAGGGCTGTGACTTCTGAAGGTAAAAATTCCACAGCTGGGTTATTGAGATTCCTCTATTCCTCCAGCCTTTCATTTGAGAGCAGGGAAAATATGGAGAAGGCAACAGTTATGAATCAGCTTGATTGCAATTCATTAAGAATTTTGAAAACTGGGTCCAACATCACACAGGAAGAAGCATGCTATATGATGGGTTTTGGAATTTCTGTATTATCTACCTAAATCCACTTGTCTTATCTGTTTGTTTAATGAAGATTTAAAAAAAAAAAATTCTTAAAACACAAAGCATATCAAAAAGTTTAAGGGGAATCTATTCAGCTATGCACTATCCTGGACCATAACTGTCAGCCCTGTTAATTTTTAGCTTGGAAAACCAAGGTGTTAAGAGTCAGCACTTGGCTTTGTTCTTCCACAGCACAATGCTGAACAACCGCGAAGGAAGGTAAACTCCCTGCCACCGAGGGTCTGTCATTTTAAGCTATTACAATCCCCTACTAGACATTGAGTTCCCTCTTCTCTATAGCTCTCCTGCTGTGATCCCTTCTTTTCACTCTCCTGTGCTCCTTAACTCTTCCTACAGAGCATGAGCCCTGCATTGCTTTTGTGAACTACTGTAGCATTTACTTGGAATGAAAAATACAGCCCATTTTATCAACTTGTGGATTGTGGCAGTGATCTTCACAGCTAGATGGCAACAAAAGAATTCCATTAGAATTCCTTCAGTAAAAAGTGAGAAATGTAATGTGAGAGCATTAAAAGCAGCTGCCTGATTCTAATGTCAGCGACAGTCTCCTTCAATTTAAATATTTGCAATAGCCATAATTAAACACTTAGTAACTGGCACTGAGTTAAAATAGAAATATATTACGTAGTCTTACTGCTGTGCTGATTTTAATTCAGATTTATATCCTCCTTGGCTTTGTGCCTAGAATAAGTCTTGTGATTCAAAGGCTGCTTTACACAGTATAGAGATTGTCATAGAGGGCAAATTATCTTCTAGGTGAGTAACAGAATTTTGACTTTTTCTGGAAGGTGCTCCATAAAGAGATCACATAATGTTATGTACTCCTTCCACTGTTTAAAGACTGAAGAGATTCACATTTGCGAATAGAAGGATGGTCTGTATGGATCTAGATTCTAGACTCTGGCTCCTTGAAGTTCCTGTGTCATCTAAACCTTCTAAACAGTTTTTCCCTCGTCCTCTAAAACCAGTGTTAAAGCTGTTGATCCTCTTACACACAGTTACTGTCATGAAAGCAGACATGTTAGGAACTTGGGCTGACCATGCCTTCTGGAAAGAAGCATATGTAAACAAATATTGCTTGTTTTTTGCCCTCATTTTTATTCCTTTGGAAATAAGCATAGCAAACTATGGCGTAGTATACAATGATAACAGAAACACAGATCTCAACATTCTTACCCAGAGATTTGCCATTTTATTGTAGGAGCTCCAATTCTAACAGAAAAGAAGGAACTTTTGATTCTAACAGAAAAAATGTATCGCTATAACAAAAAAGTGAAAATCTATTACAAAAAATCTTAACATATTTTTATTCTGTTGTGGCTGTATGACCCAAATTTTTCTAATCACACTGTAAAGGTGAAATAAAGATTAAAATTCAACCTCGTAGTAAATAGGCACACTGGAAGATTTCCAGCAGGCCTGAATTTATTCCAAATGTATTTTATTTTACTTCAGAGCGCAATATGCAGACTGTGGCTCCACTTCTTGCTGCCTCATAGGCAGCCATTTTCTGAGCTGTCTCTCGGGCCATGAAGCCATGTTGAAGGATCTTGAACTGTCTTTCCCGACTCTCTTCCAGTTCTTTCCAATGGTTCCACTGCAAAGAGTCCTGCAGAAAAGACACACAGATGATCAGACTACAGATGACACAGTGGTTCTCTTTAGAGGATACACTTAACCGCTGTTTGATAATCTGGCTGGCTGGCAACACAGTTTATTTGCTGACATGATTGGGAAACTTGTCAGCATCAAACTGGGTGGAATGAATTGAAAGGTAACTCAAATGGGTTGCCCAGTTTAAGGTGAATTAAACACAGCTGCAACACTCCACAAAATGTTAAGATAAAACTACATCTGGATGGTTTGCTCAACACTGCTACTTTATGTTCTTTGCCAACAGTTTATTCTTGAAGTTATAAATGAACAGTTGCACAAATCCTATCAGACTAGTGTTTTGCTGATTCAAAAGCTGGGTTCACAAGGGAGCATTGTCAAAAAAGCTCAGATCAAACAGAAAACTGCTACTTTTTCATGCGATTCTTTGCTTAAAAATAGTAGAAAAAAATTTTTTTTCATTAATGACAGTTTTCTTATGGTTAGTTTTCCAAATTGTAAAATAAATTCTGTTTTATTAAGAATGTAATATTGATTTATAAATAAACGTTACATTGACTTGAATCAGCACAAACCCATTGGGCCCAAGGGTCCGTCACAAATGTGACTGAAGCCACAATCTGGAACTTCAATACAAGGGGTTAGTGTCACTTTTTTTTCTACTTATTGAGGAACCTAAAAGGTAGCAGTACAAACTGAATACCAAATAACTATCGCATTATAACTAAGGGAGGATTTTTTTCCCTATAGTCACACCAGCACCATGTTCAGCAATATGCAGTTCAACTACAACAAAGATGCTTCTGAACATATCTGACCAGAACTGAGTCGCATCACTGCAGTAACACTTGGATAGGGTCATGCAGAGCTGAACAGCACTGATGGAAGATACACCAAAACAGGTAAATACTTTATAGCTTTACAGTAATCTTTTTCTTTTTCTTTCTTTTTTTTTTTTTTTTTTCAGATGTCTTATCATTTGAGTGGAACATAAACAAAACCACCATGACATTTTAAGAGACTTACTGTGTAACACTAAGCTCAAGAAACAGAAAAATCGATAACTTCAGAACAACTTTCAAACCTTGGCTTTTTTTGCTCATTCATATGACACCAGCGCACTCAGAGCCACATCAGGTAGTCAAAAGTTTTAGTTATGAATTTGTAATTTCTCTTTGTTTATTTTTAAAATGCCTCACATTTGTAATTGCATGGCTGATTTCCTTTGAAGTCTGCATTTATTGCTTGTACTTTACTGTGGACTACATTCAGCAAAGTGTTTAAGCATGTGTTCAAAACCTCAGTTCAGAAAGCCATCCCAGTTGAGGAAATGCTTTCTTCAAATAGGTCTTCAGTGTTTTCTTTGCTGAAAGGGATACACCCAGTTCTCTATATAATCACCTCCATGTTTTGCATGCTTGAAATGGGGATTCTGAAGGCAGCAAACTTTGATACTCTGAAAGATTGCACTGTTTCGGTTTTTAAACTATACACACTTGAAAAATACAGTTTTCCTCTTCACTGAATTCAGCTTCATCTAGCTTTCTCACAAAATAGGTAAAGGTTCAGTATTATTTTAATGAACTGGGAGATTTACTTCAAATTTTACATTGGGCTAGTACAGATTTAAAAAGTGATCCCATCATGACTGTTCACTGCAGTGTTCCATATGCTGTGGTACATGTACTATTACTGGTATATGAACCACTTCTGAATCTTAGGCATGCATGAGGCAATGGCAGAGGCGGCAGCAGCAGCAGGAGCAGCAGTTCCTCACCACTTACTTTAGACACTTGCCAAGGAAACACAACTAGTGTGAACCAGCATAAAGCTACTGGTGCTTCCATCTGATGTGGGACCAGGCTGAGGAAAGGCGAGTTGAAAGCCACGGGAATGATATACTAACATGCCTTGGGTGAGAGAGGGGGTGAGCACCCCAGTTTGGTGTGATGGGATGTGGGTGATAGGAAGCTGAGAAAGACAAGAGTTAGAGACAGGGGGTAAGATGCTGTTTTGCTGGGATAAGAGTGGCAAGCTAGGTGTCATACAGATAAGCCCTGCTCTGTGGTAGCATAATGTGTGACAAGAAGGTGAGGTCAAGGCCATGGTTTGGAGAAATCATGCCTATGCAGGAAGGAGGCTATTGCCAGTCATGTACAGCACCATCTGCCTCTGCCCCCCTTGCCAGTGCTGGCAGTTGAGCAAAGGTCTGTGAACAGCAGGTCTATTGCAGAGCTTTTCTCCTTATGTAACTCCCAGACCTTCCTTGATGCAATGCTGGTTTTCTGGGGGGTAATCTTTAAGAATCCTGCTTGCTTTTTACGCTCCATTTTTTTTTCTAGAATCTTTTCCTGCAGGTTTAAAATGCGTTCATCTTTCATAGACCTTTCACCAGACTGAGACTTTCTTTTTTTTTCTTCTTGCCTGCAAAATCAAAAAGAGCAATGAGAAGGTAAAATAATATCAACCCACAGAATAAATCCATCTGGGCATATATTACTTTGATAATAATGAATTTGCTCTTGCTTCTGGGAACCAGCTAGACTCAAAACAGGTTTAAATCATATAGCTTGAATGTGGTATTCACAACTTGCTTCTTGTTTACAGAACAGCATTACTAAACAGTATGGAATAATTTCTTCCCACAGGATGCCATGATGACAATATCTGAAGTATTTCAAGCCTGCCATGACATTCTTTAGAAAAAGCATGTGCAGCATCTATGATAATAACTGCAGCTTTTTGCTTGTGAGACCATGGAGTTTTCATTAGTATTCATCTTAACTGCTGTATTCCTTGGCAAATGAATCTCATTGCCCAGATTCAGAATCTATGGGATGGTGATGTATTAATTAAGATTAGTTGGTTAAGGTGAGCATAAATTGGTAGCACCATATGCAGCATAAAACTAAGGCATGAGAGAGAGGTTATCAGACAGTCTTCCTTTTTTTTCCTTCCATTGTAGTTACTTTTCTGTCCTCCAGAGTTTACATTTTATCTGGTTTTGCTTACTTTCACCCAACTGGCACAATTTACTCACAACTTCTTCATGTAGGTTACACCACATTACACAGTGATTCACTTAACATCCAACATTTCCAGTTGCCTTCCTGAGTCACTTCCTGAACCTCTCTGCTGTTTCGTCATGCTATCTGGTTAGGATAACACTTCCTTATGCTCCTTAATATTGTGATATTCCCTGCTACATTGAGATTGAATTTTAACACTGTTCCGTAAATCTAAAAATTATGAACTTTCACTTAATCTAATTGAGAACATGGATTATTTCTATTTGCATTGTAAAAAGGCATTGCATTCCAAGGGATATAGGAGAATATAATAATATGTAAATACCTGATGATTAAATATTGTCAGTGGGAATAAGCAACAAAACCTTTCCTTACATGCAAATCCAGATTCTTGTAAATACAATTACAGGAAATAGAGCAAGAGGTTTAACATCATGAAGCAGCAGCAGCTGCTTCTGAATTAACACTGTGAATAGTTGCTTATCCTCAGAGTAATATTCAGTCCTCTTCTACATGAAGTCATGTGCCGTTCATCTACACTATTTCCAGAAAGCTGCCAGTCCCACAGATTTTCGGATGCCACACCACATCATAACAGAAACCCAAAGAGGGGAAGGAATGAAAAAAGAAAGTTTTAAAATTCTCTGTTTCTGTGATGGTCAGTTGAGAATGTTCAGGTCTCAAGATAGAAAAAGCTCATACAATCTCTGCCACCCCTTATCACATATTTCCTAAGGAAGTAAGGTTAATAGCCACTCTGAATGGGGTACTATATACTTAGAAAAATGCTCTCCAGATTCAAGAGAAAATTATGTGATAAATTATTGAAAAAATATGCAGAAACCATTTTAATTTTACTTTTAAGTTTATTTACCAGCTACTAGTATTGAATGAATACCTTGAATGAAAATCGATCTTTGAAAATCACACTAGTTCCTAAAATGTAATGTCAAACCTTTGGTCCAAAAGATAATTTGCTGATTTTCTTTTCTTTTGGTCTCTGACAAGAGTCCTCCATCCCTTTGTGAGTCTGCCATAATTAAAAACATATTTTTCTACCAAAGACTTTGAAAAAAATTGTAATATTTTTGAATTCCATATGTATGGTTTAACATGGTTTAACAAACTAGGTTTTGCTTAGTGACCTTGTCAGAAAGTACCTTTTAGTGTTAATCTACCACCGATTTCATTCTCTATTCACTTTCCATGTAAGTTATATGTACAGTTAACAGCAGAAAGATTTTGGCTCTCTGTGATCAAGTACAGAACAATTTCATCACTGATGGGTAAAACGTAAGGGTCTTTCTATTTAAAATATGTTCCAGGCATTGTAAACTGCAGTTGACATCTCATATTTGTTGTCTCAATTATTTCTTAGTAAATATAATGAATTTTTAAAATGTATAAGTATTTTTTTACTTCACATTTTACAATGTTGTCATGGAGTTTGGCAGTCCAGTGTCTTCTTACTTACATATCCCTTGTAATTATTTAACTATCTGCCCTGAAATTTTAGCATCTGGCCAAATGGACTCTAGGTCCAGTAGGTCATCCGGACTATAACTGAAGAAGCAGCAATTCAGCATTAAAGGTTTTTCTGCAGGAAATTAAAACCTTGAAACAGTTGGATTAGGTCTTCCCAGCTGTGTTTAAAAAATGGGGAATTCGAAGATTTGCACAGAGGATTCCTCCTGAAAAACTAATAGTATGCTCTTCATTTACATTTTCAAACTCCAGCTGTACATTAAAAATATAAGGAAATAGAGGTATGAAAGCTCTTAACTGACTCAATACTTGTATAAGATGGAGTAAAAATGTCTACTTGACCATTCTAGGGATCAAAATATTAATTTACGCAGTTAGGACTATATTTATAAGCTCACCTTATAAAATGGGGTCTTATGCAATAAACAAACATATTTTTAAAAGCAGAAATAGTATTGCCTTATAGTGCAATAACTATATATATTTTTAAAATTTCCTCATACCTTCAGCCTCAGTGACTAGGGCTGTCTACTTAACAGTACCTTACTTTTTTTTCTGTCCTGCACTATATGATTCTTAGTTATAGCAATGAGGAAAATGAATGTATCTGTTAACAGTTCCCTGTTAAGGGAGTCATTATTTTGACATTTAAAAACACTACACTATTAGATTGATTGCATTTTGTACTAATGTGAGGGATTTAAGCACTCAAAATCTGACTCCCAAAACAATTAATTTATTAAGCACCTAATTTTAGGTGGGGAAGTGATTGCTATTCGTAACAGTGTTTTCCTCATTTGAAATAAAGATTATCAATCTATATAATCAAAGTTCATTCACAGAATCACAGAATGGGTGAGGTTGGAAGGGACCTCTGGAGGTCATCTTGTCCACACCCCTCTGCTCAAATGGGGCCATCCAGAGCCACTTGCCCAGGACCATGTCCAGACGGCTTTTGAATATCTCAAGGATGGAGAATCCACAACTTTTCTGGGTAATATGTGCCAGTGCTCAGTCACCATTACAGTAGAAAAGTATTTACTGATGTTCAGAGGGAGCCTCCTGTGTTTCCTTTTGTCCCTCTTGTCCTCTCATTGGTCACCACTGAGAAGAGCCTGGCACTGTCTTCTTTACAGCCTCTCTTCACATATTTATATTTCTGATGCATCATTGCTAACAAAGTTCCTCCTTCTGTTTCAATGCTAGTGAAGAACTCATTACCAGCAGTAGGGACTGAGAAACTAAATCTTACTTCCTTATTGCAAATACATACACAACTCTTAAGTATTTATGAAATTTGCAAAATTAATGAAATCACAAATATTATGAAGTACCAACCAAAAGTCCTTTATATTGCTAATTATTCAGCTTTTTTCATTATTCTAGGCTATGTTTTGGAGATCTAAAGCAACAGCCCGGATCCCTAGCAAGAGCTAGGGACAGCATGGCACATGTTCCCCTGTTACATCTTTCCCCTTCCATGTGCTTGTGTGCCCCTTCCCTCAGCTGTGTGCTGCATCACAGGGTTGTGCTGCCCGGGTGTTGGTGCAGGTTTTGGAGGATGGGGCTCCATTCTCTGCTCCTCACCCAAGAGGCCTTTCACCCTCCAAGTCAGACCTGGACAGTCCAGGGAACACCTGCTTTAAGGAGCTTGTTCTCCTTAGAAAGGACAATCACATTCATCCATAACCCTCCCTTCTGCTTGTTCTCCCTCTTTCTCCTCATAACGAGTCTTTCCCCGTATCTTCCAGCCATGGCTGCCCTCACACTATTTACACATTCCTCCCCCCACCCAGTTCAAGGTCTTGCACTGGTGTGTGGTCAGTGCCCCTTGTCAAGGAGGGGTTTGAGCACTGCAGAGGCAGAGAGCAAAGGAGTGCTTTGCCACCTTGGGAAACATACCATTTTTTGTAATCCAGTGCTGAGACCTCAGTGTGCGTGTGAGATGGGAATGGGGTAAACTTTTGTGTTAGTGGGAGTCTGTTCATCTTTCTCATGTACAAGGAAGTCAAGGAGGATTAGTGTCAGTTCAGAGTGTCACCTGGAACTGCAACCTTCATCTGGGTGTTGCCTTGGAGAGGGGAGGAGGCTTGGGCAGCAGGCACTGTCATGTCACTTGAAAATCAGCAGGAAAACAAACAGGGCCAGACCATGAGTGAGAACAGAAATAAGGCTGGCTTCCATCTACCTTACATATGTGCCAATGACTGGTGGGGGCATGGATGTGCTACTGTCATCTATGTGGGACAAACAAAAGGATGGTGTGGTGTTCACTACCTGGGCTTGAAAAGGAGCCGGGAATTGAGTATTGTGAAGTTTTGTGAGGTAACTCCTCTGGACAGCTTTAAACCACGTGAATGGTGAGAGCACACAGTCCCAAGGTTGTGGTAAATCCAACCCAAAGTAAAACCTCCCAACCACAGGTAATATGGATGGAGGGAGCCTCAGCACCAGCTGGTTTGATCTGCTGCTCGTTCTTAGTGCATTAAATTACTTGCAGTAATAGATGTAGCCTCACTGGAATGAAATGGAATTGTACCTGAAGTATACAGGCACATGACTTTAGTACATTAGCGTGTATTCAAACATTCATAAAACTTTTGGTGCTGATGATCGAAAGCTGAGAACTCAAATGTTTGTCCGCTTCATATGCCAGTACTGATTTTCAAACTGTGTGAAATTCTAGCAATTAAAGGGATCTGCTGCATGTATACTGATTGATTCTTAAGTGTTCTGCAAGCACTCACAAAGCCACTGCTGTGATGGATGTCATGGCTTGCAGACTATTAAGGGCTGATGTCTCTGTAATTTTTCATGTTCCATTTCCTATTTTGTTTAATATAGCTCATTATATGCTTGCTCAATGTGCTGCTTTTGTGTTGATGTATGTCTGTTTGTAAATAATATTGAAAGGAATTGGCTTGGTAGGGACCCAATTAAACTCCAGCTGACACTAACTAAAGCACATTTGTTTAAAAAAGCTTAGCTGCCATACTTTAGCTGATTAGCAGTAGCTTTCAACATAATACAATTTAAGATATAACATGTAATTTTATATTGATGCATAAGGGTATCTTATGAGGACCATTGTTAAGATTTGCTATTCTATCCCTGTAATTATGAATTAATTCTGTAAACACGAAAATTTGCCTTTTACATCTCCTGTGCAGCATATCAATAATACAGCCCAAGCAATTAATCACTCACAATGACCTGATAGATATTACAAGATTCAAGATCTGTAAATCAGGTTTAACACACAAAGCCTATAGTTTGTTTAGAGAGAAATGAAAGCTGCAGCAGAGTGTCTAGCATTTATAAATAGGCCAGCATGCCGTATTGCTGTATTAACAGAAATCACACTAGATTTGGATTCTAGATGAAAATGCATGAAATACACTCCCAAAGAACAACATTCCTGGTATACTTTGATAATGCCTCTTTATAGTAGATGCCTCTAAGTTATGTACATAGATTGCCTGGGAGCTCTGAAAGGAAAGGTCTTACATTGTCTATAATGAAACTATATTTTCTTATTTGGAGAGCAAACAGGGCTCTGTTAGAATTACTGTATTACTTATCATTAGTCTGACTAGAAGCTTGCAAATTAAGTGCTTAATTTCATTTGAATCCAACTATCTTTGGCATGCTGGTCTGTTCTAAAAAAATTTCAAATGTCAGGACAAAAAGTGAATCAAAGTTTGCTTCTCATTGAAGCATAGCTTATTTCAGCATCAGAACAGTTTTAGATCTGAATTAATCCAAAGTGTCTATTTTAAAGGAACCCACCACTATGCAAAATCTACAGACTGCACATCTACCTTAAAAAACAATAAGTGTTACTAGTGAAACAGGTTTTATGTATTATACAAGTTCTTAATGCCTAGTTGGAATAATCTCTAGTGGAAAGCAGTGGCTTGAGTTGCTCCCACAGGCTTCCACAACACTGAATGTTTAGTGATGAGAGTGTATTTCCAGCTGCAACTCCATTTCAGGTTCTTTAGTCCTAAAATCTTTTCCCAGTATGTGCTATAGAAGAGAGGGTCACTGATCTATGCAGTCAATCCACTGCAGCTGCAGTTATTGATTCATTAAATTCATTAAACTATCTTCTTAAGTACTAACATAGTAAAACTTCAGTCTTTGGAGATTAACTGTCAGCAACAAACCAATTTAAAGCTGGGACTAGTGAAACCTAGTTAAATGAATACATCAATACTGCCTTCTGTAATTGAGATTTAGGACTGGGTGATAAATCAATAACGTGAATTGAACTCTAAGAAGCCCCCTTCAATATCTCAGCAATAAACATGAATCTAAGAATGTCTGAAGACATGTGTTTTTAGCCTGATAGAATATGTCTTTAGACTGTCATCTGTTTGTAAAATAAATATGGCAAGACAAGGACTAACCTCCCAAACCCACAAAAGTGAAAAGGTGAAAGACAACTTGCAAGAAGACAATGGCAAATAGTGAAGATTCAATAAAAATGGCATATGATCAAGAGGTATGCATTATTTTATACTTTTACCCAGGCTTTCTTCCTGCTCAGCTTTAACTTAGGTTTTAAACTCTTTGTGGAAGGGACCAATCTTCTGCATATGTGAGGCATCTATGATGGTTATGGATCCTTTATGACGATGAATAATAAATATGATAATGAATAATAAATATGAATAATGAATTCAGAATTTGGTAAGAGCCTGGAAGCAAAGAATTTTCTCTTTGATCTACTGCTATAATGTATTTAATTTATAACTTATTATTGTTATCAGAAAATCTCCTTCCTAAAACATTTTAAACTTCTAGAATAAGGCCTGCCTTTTCACAAAACAAATGAAGTTCAAGGAAGAAAACTATAGCCCTAATGTTTAGATGAAAATGAGAAATCTCTTTAAGTGGCAAGCTAGAATAATTCTAATAACATCAAATTAGTTCTGATTAGCTGGAAAGGAACAGAAGAAAGTCAGAACTTCTTTCTCAAGCTATAATATTGACTCTGAATCCTGGGGCAATACTGTCAACACTAGCCTACAATGTCTTCAATCATAAATGATGAAAAAGATTTGTTAAATCTGATGCAAATTATTTTCAAGAATGAGAAGGAAATCCAGGCCTCCAGTGTAATCCTTGCCAAAAGTCATACTGATTTATAAAAGGGCAGTATTTTGCTCTCTACTTGTTTTTCTCCTCAAGGGGCTAGCAAAATATTAACAAAGTTGCAATGTCTTAAATGTCACATGCTGTTTTATACTGACTTTAAAGCAGCTGCTCGTCCAAGTTCTGCTCTGAACAGGGAAATCTGGTCCAGTTTGTCTAGAAGAAGTTGTTCCTTAGCTTGTTTTTCATGAATTATCTGGTCTCTCTTCTCTTCCTCTTCTGCCTTCTGTGCTTCTCTGAGTAGAGCGAGGCGTTCACGTAGTTCCACTATTGACATTTCACAAATTAAACCATGGCCACCAGTCTAAAGAACATGAAACACAGGTTTAAATAACACTGTAAATACCAAGGGGACAGTAAATGAGTAAAACCAGAATATTTTGACTGCATTCCAAATCATGCTGGATATATTTTGACTTCAAGAAATACAGGGATGCCCTAACCTGTTATTTACAAGCTGGTTTTAAGGTGTAGAGCTTATCTTTCATATGTGTAAAACCCACAAGGCTCATAAAACAATTAATGAAAAAAATACTGGAAATATACAATAGATTAATCATAAATACAACATATTTGCTGCCCCAAAACCTGACTTATCTTTTAGTTTTATTAGACTTGTGAAGTTCTAAAATGTGTAAAACTGCTTTTTTAATTTTGTAAAATCAGAACATACTTTACACTAAAAAGTATGCACTTTTTTTGGTATTTATCTATTTCCAAAGTATGGATTTGATCTATGTTTTTATCTGAAAAGAGCATAACTAAACAATGCTTTGTACCCAGGAAATTCAGATCTTAATGCCAAAGTTAAAATATTCAAACTCAAATGTTAAATGAAGACCTTTTAATATCCATTTTGCAATGAGAGTGATAATGATCCTGATTCTGAGATGTAAAGAGAGACTTCTGCACCTTAGTTTGCATATGAAGACAGATGATTTCTGAACAGATTTGTGAACACTTGGAAGTTTTTAAGCCTTGCTCTTCCGTATACTCTCCCTTTCTCTATGTCTACATGTATTTACATCTGCATATAGGGCAAACTTGCATAAACCCACACAAATACCGAGCTTCTGTGTAGCTTTCTTTGCAAAACTTAATACATTTCACCCCAATTTCTGTTGCCTATCTTAACCTAGGCACACAGCCTTGGTGCATATCTTGAACCATACATAGCATGTTATAATGGAATATATGGGTGCAGGAAGTCAAGATGACTCTTGCTGTACAGTTGTATAACATTAAGAGTGAGACACTGGTTAGGATTTAATCACAAAGACCTTGGTGTACTTAGTTCCATAGAACTAGTGACAGAAAATTAATGAGAAAGTTTGGAAAGGGTGAAGGGGGGATGTGTGGAATCCAAAAGAACAAGCGCTCCTCCAGATTGTATTTCTCAGGCTGAAATTAAGTGGTAATGATAAACATATGTAAGTAAAACTCATTACAATCCTTTTAATGGAGAGAAATTATTCAGTTAAAAAGCCTTCATTTTTTCAAGCAATCCTTTTTAGCAGGAAAAAATGCCCTGAGCGTGTTGTTGACAGAATAGTAGTTGCCTTTCTGCTTTTGAGTTTTTCATAAAACAGAACATGAAGGGGAAGGGAAAAAAAACCACAGGAAAAGAGAAGGATGCTCTGTCAAAGACAGATGCTCAGATTGTCAGTTTGGCTGCAAGAGTTGCCCTGGGTACAGTCCCTCTTCTCTGGTCTGGGATGCCTTCTAAGCAGTCTAGTCAGGTACTCATCCTCCAGTGATCATTTTGTTCAGAGCAGTGGGTCAATGAAACAGAGGGAAAGCCAACAGAGATGAAGAAACCAGCAAGATGGGGCAAGAGGGCCAGGGGCAATAAAACCACAAAATAGAGTATGACAAATAACCAGACTTGGCTCTCTGCTGCCACAACATTGTGCTTAAGAGGGATTATTATCAACTTTGTCTGGAGAATCTAATGATACAAACTTGTCAAGTGAATGAGAACGTGTCTTGGGTGGTCATCCCTGGGGACTCCTCTAAGATTTCCAAGAGTCCCTCCTGCAGTTTTGGTCCCCATAGCTTCTCTTTATAAAGATTCAGAAGTTAAGTCAGTAAGAATAGATCATCATTCTTTTTTCACCTAAATTCTCACTCTTCAATTTTGCCTCAGTGGTTTCTGTTTCCATGCTCCTCATATGTACCAAACATGACCTAAACAATGCTCACCAGTAGCATCAGTAGAAGACTGATAAAAGAGTTAAATATTAAGCAGTCTTTGTTTTTGCATCTCTGAAAAATATGTACAGGTTACTGAAACAGTAAATGATCATTTATCTCATTCTCAGTGCTATAATACTCTGCCTTGAATTTAAACCATCAAGTTGTATTCACAGGAAGTGAAAGGAAAATTTTTGCAACTGGGCATATATACCAACGGTAGTATTTGAGCATGGCAAGCAGACACCAAAAAGCTCTAGGAAAGAGAATTTCCTAGAAGAATAAAATGGTAGAGGCTGAATATTTTGAGTATCTGCATTTCAAAAATACTCAGTGAAGACAGTGAAATGGTTCCTAAAATATAAGCACTCCTATACTTGTGCAGTAGATAATGCTGGTGTTCAAGCAACTTAAGTGCCATCAGGGAAAGAACTGGTACTTTAAAAATTATGAGAATGAATGAGAATTTTATGAACACCTACTTAATTTCACTAAGCCTGAAAAAGCATTTTGGAGAAGGAAAAAAAACAGGGCAAGCTATCACCAAAGGTGTGCTAATTCACTCAGAGTGCTATTACAATAGTGAATATAAGGGAACTGTGAAGTTGAGATAGAGAATTATAGAATGATTTGGGTTGTAAGGGACCTTTAAAGATGATCTAGTTCCAATCCCCCTGCCATGGGCGGGGACATCTTTCATGAGATCAGGTTGCTCAGAGCCCCATCTAACCTGGCCTTGAACACTTCCAGGGAGGGGGCAGCCACAGCTTCTCTGAGCAATCTGTTCCAGTGGCTCATCACCCTCAATGTAGAAATTTTTTCCTTGTATCTAACCTAAATATACACTCTTTACATTTAAAACCATTGTCCCTTGTCCTGCCACTACAGGCCTTGGTAAAGCATCTTTCTCCATCTTTCTTATAAGCTGCTTTATGTACTGAAAGGCCACAATAATGTCTCCCTGGAACCTTCTCTTCTCCAGGCTGAACAACCCCAACTCTCTCAGCCTTTCTTCACAGGAGAGATGCTCCAGCCCTCAGCTCATTTTTGTGACCTCCTCTGGATCCACTCTAACAGGTCCATCTCTTTCTTATGCTGGGGGCCCCAGAGTGGGATGCAGTACTCCAGGTGGGGTCTCACAAGAGCAGAGGGGGAGAATCATCTCCCTCATCCTGTTGCTCATGCTTCTTTTCACGCAGCCCAGGATACAACTGGCTTTCAGGGCTGCACATTGGCAGCTCATAGAGAATTTTTCATCTACTGATGTCCCCAAGTCCTTCTCTGCAGGGCTGCTCTCAATCAAGTCATCCCTCAGTCTGTATTGATATTGGTGATTGCCCCGACTCAGGTGCAGGACCTTGCACTTGGCCTTGTTGAGCTTCATGAGGTTTACAAGGGCCCAGTCCTCAAGCCTGTCAGGGTCCCTTTCCTCAAGTGCATCAACTGTACCACCCAACTTGGTGCCATCGGCAAACCTGTTGAAGGTGCACTTAATCCCCCTATCTGTGTCATTAGGGAAGATATTAAATAGTACTGGTCCCAGTGTGGACCCTTGAGGGACACCACTCATTACTGGTTTCCACTTGGACATTGAGCCATTGACTGTAATTCTGGATGCAGCCATCCAGCCAATTCCTTATCCATCTAACAGTCCATCCATATCATTCAGGTCCATTCTCTTGTATTTCCAGTATGTATGGCCTTTATGGCCACTCCATTTTCAGCAACCGTGGACTTTGGTAACCCTTCACTTAGGATAAGCTTGAATTTTGAAGGAATTTTCCATATATGACTTGAAACCTGCTGTGTTTTTCTGCTTTGTGTTTTGAATTAAGCTAGATGGTAAAATCTATTTAAAGCCATATTCTGTACTTAGAAACAAACAGTATTTCAGTGGAAGCTCTGTGTGAGGAGTCGACAGCCACTGTAAGGGGCAATGAAATGAACTGTGTTAAAAAATGAGATATTACTGACATTCCAGCCACCTTAATTTTCCTGAATGAGAGCCTGCACTATTTCATAGTTGTGATTGAAAAAGTAATGATGTTTCCATGTCCGTCTACATCATACTGTTGTGTCTTTGCAGCCTACATCTTGTGACTGAATCATCTGGGTAACAAATGTGCAGTCAGACCATGCTAAGGGCTCTGTTTAGGGTTGGCACAATGTGCAACTCTACCTGAAGCAGTAAAAGATCTATTACATTGAAGTACCTTTGGCATTTCCATGCAGACAGTTTACAGTATCTGTGGTGTACAATAACTCTTTGTACTCTTCACTTTCTTCCCCTGCTTTTTCCATTGTGGTTCAGTAATATTTCTCCACAAATGGGTGGAGTGAGTCTGGTTTTAAAAAAAAGAGAATTGCCTTCTTTGGCTGGAAATGAAGTGGACAAGTGATGGCAGCAGCCATAAAGGCAACCAAAGAGAGTAAAGGAGGATGGGTCGTCTGGGAAGTTGATTTTATTTTTGTTCACTTATGTCAAACTTTAACATTAAATGTATTCTAAAATGTGTTAAATGAGATGAGGGATTTATCTGGCGGCTGCAAAATAGTAGGTAGCTTTGGAATCAATGAATGGCTGATTTCTATTCAGAGGAGCAGGAGATAAAACCAAAGCATCATATTGACTGTTCCAACAGCCCTGTGGAAGGAAGACCTATTCCTTCTGTATGCTTTCTGCAGACTAGCCATGGATTATTTTAATTTGTGATCTTCATTTGAATACTCATGAAAGAAATGAAAGAAAAAAAACTAAAGGATTCTATTTAAAATTGCTAGTGTAATTTTATATTACTCTATGTTGTTCTTTCAATGTGGATAAGGAAAATGGAAGGGTATTTTTCAGCTAACCTGCTTCTGATTTAGTGGTAAGGAAACAGATTTCTGCATGATGCTGCCTAAGTCAGGAAATTCTGCAAAACTGGACATTGCAAAGCCCAATATCAGGCATATCAGTTGTTGTGCATCAACAGTAAGTCTAAGAAGTTTGGGATACATTTATTGTAGACTTAACCACACACACACAAGTCATTTGCACAGTACATGCACAATGGCTCAGAAGGTTTTGGGTTCTCCTGACAATCTTTTTCATATACCTGAATGTTGATGGTTTTGAAAGCAAAGGAAATTAATTTTGCTAATTACCATGGCAATCACCACTGCAATATGAACAACTGTACATCAGTCCAAACTTTGTGTTCATTTGATCCTTACTCAGGACTGACAAATCTGTGAATTTGTGAAGATGGATAGAACATGTTGTAATTACTTGCCAGTCACTTTTTGAAAGATATCAGGAAACCCAGATCCTATTGGCAAAATTCACAGTTCAAGAGAAATAAGATTTCTCTTACCATCAGAATACTCTTCCTGGTAAAATTTTCATTTTATAGACTTTGTGAAAGTTTCCATTCAGATCTAACCTTTGTGTCATGGAGTCACCTTGTACTTAATGCTGTGCATCCAGACTGTGATATATCTGCATGCAGTACACAATTCCTCTGAATGTGAGAAACATACAGTATACCTTTATGTAAAAAAACAGTAGTTGTTCCTTTTGAGCTTACCTCTGTTAAATCAACAAACTTGTGTCTGACACTTGGTAAAGACTCAATAGCTCGTATTTGTTGAATTAGTTCGTATCTTTTCTTAAGCTTCTCCTCTTCTTCTTCTAAAGCTTGTCGAAGAAGTTCTCGACTTTCTTCACAAACTTCCTGAACTGAAAGATAAGAACTAATCTCTGTTAGCTGGTTGCATATTTTAACAAGTAGTCCATCTGGAGGAAAATTCATACGCATTTGTGAATAAGAATAATACTACTGATCTGAAGGTACTTGAGGGAACAGTCTGTCATTGGTGGGAGGAATGATTAGAGAAACAAATTAGTATTTCCCACCTCCACTATCTATCATTCTATTCAGCACATAAACATACTGTATACATACATAAAGTAGACACTTTGAATTACTGCTTTGTAATTTCTGTTCTAATTAGTGCATACTGTTTTGTTGTTTACTAAAAGGATATTATACAGTAGCAAATATTCATAGTTTTTCAAGCTATATATATCTCCTAGAAATCACTGATTTGCCAAGGCTGGTAGGCTTTGCTAGCCCATTTCAGAGTGGCTAAATCCTCTGCCCAACTCAACCCTTACTGATACACATATGGAGATAAACAAGCAGAGAAAAGTCTGCTCACCAAAATATGCACAACTAGTGGTAGCCTATTCATACAGTGAATGCATGGCATTGCATTGGAACGTGTAAAGCCATGCCAGTCAGAACAGCCTTCTCCCTGGACTTCATTACCTAATGCATTCACTGAAAAATTTTCTTTAAGAATAATGGAGGATGAGTAACATTATTTCCCTACATCCTAATGACTGGTCTGTCTTAGAGGTGCTACACCCTTCTCCCTTGTAGTACTGTCCTTCTGGGAGATGGCTTTTCTTTCCTTAGCTACAGTTGTCTTCTCTGGACTGTCTCCTCTAGAGAAGACAATAATCTTGAGCCATGGTTCTTTCACAGTGGTTGCTAGGCAAATCGTCTCTTAATGATATGAATCACAAGAATCTGAACTTAATAAGTTGATTTGACAAAAAGTACAGTCATTCACATATGCTACATTTTGATGGAAGGGAAACTAATTGTGTAATGTTAGTGTTGTATTTCTCCCTTATAAACAAAGAGTAATTCCCATGACCAGTAGTTTAGAATTTCTAACTACCCATTATCAACTTATTCCTGGAATTCATATTCATGCATTCATGGGAATGTATAGCCTGGATCTTGCCCTCAACCTCCCTCTCCTTTCTGTAAAAAATTTCCTTGGCTCACTACAAGAAAGATTAAGTAATTTGGGGACATTTGGCATCATCTCTTATTTTTCCAGAAATTTATAAATACCTATCTGCTGTTTGTATTTCTGGAGCTTTATTTTTGCTTGCTTTGCATTCTTGTGTCCTTCCATGACCTGCTCCACCAGCTCTCTCATTTCTTTCTGTTCCTGTAGACGTTTCTCTGCATACAGGTGCATCAACTCTGCTTTCTAAATCCCAAACAAACAGGTGAATAAAACTTCTGGTAACTGATGATGTGAGTGCCTCAAATCACTGAAAAAGGGCAAGGGCAATTGAATTCAAAGTATTACATCACCCACAAAAGCGAAAAAGGACATTGTCTGGGGACAACATAGAAACCCAGATTTAAGCTCCCCTCTCTATATTTTATTTACCCACAACAGTCCTCCATAACATTTGCACTGCTATTTTCCAGGATTCACTCCCACATTTTTCTAAAAGCAGACCAAAAAAGCCATCTCTGGATCTGGTTGTGAGATATCAAGAAGAGTCCTAATCTTATACACAGGTGGTTGTGTGCCTGCAGAATCTTCCTGGGCCTAAGTCATATCTCTGTAACATACAAAAGTCCACTTTTGGCTGTCATGTCCCTTTCTTTCTTCATCAGGAAGCAGGAAACTGGATTTTCCCAGGCTAGATTCCTTACTGTACTTTCTGTTTTAGATGAAAGGCTAGAGTTTTAAAAGAGGGAGGAGGGTTAGCATGCGAGCTGTTGGTGAATGGGCAATTGGTGCTCTGTACTTCTGGAGATCTCCATATGGATGAAGTGCCCTGCTAGCATCTGTTGGCAAGTGAAGGGAGCTGTCTGGAATTGATCAGGTTAGAGCAAGTCGGATTTGCACATCCCCAAATCTATACATATTGGATGATTCTATTAATAAATAAAACACATATGCTCTGAAATTGAGGTGAATATAATAATTACAATGATTTGTGAGCGATCACACTATGTGCAGTTGGACATACTAGGGTTCACTTGAAGATCTTGCTACAGCCTGTCTAAACAGACATGAAGACCCAATGCCAAAAAAGGTTTAAAGATTTTATAGGACAGAAAAGGAACTCATTAAGCAAGTTTCCCTTTTACAGCATGTCCTTTAGGAAAATCTTGTGCATTTGTGGTCCCATCTTAAGTTGCTGAGTCACTGCAGAGACTGTGAGAGGTGACCAAGAGAAAAGTACTGGCTGGCCTACAGGGCATAGCAACAAACTGGGCTAACAGAAAAGAAAAGCATGTGATAGTGACTACGAAGACTTTAAAATCTATAGTATTAGTTATTTCTTGATCACTTGTTTAGTTTATAGGAGAAGCACTGGAAAAATGTAATGTGAGTTGGGGAAAAAAAAAAAATAGCAATGTTTTGGGGAAACTAGTTTGCCAAATCAGAAACTGCGTGAAAATACTTTTTTGCATAAATACTCAGTTTTCCATATATAAAGATCCAAAGAGGGTTCTCTGACTGAATTTTCCCCTAAGAGAGATCTAGTCATGTCAGATAATATTAAGTAAATTGAATTGTATCACTTTAAGAAAACAAACTATTTCATATTTGTGGCTCTCATTTTAACAAGATAATGAAATTAGTCATATAATGGTGATTTCATTGCAAATGGTGCCGATGGTGCCTAGTATCTCAGTATCTGTTCAGAAAGAATATGCACAATGACATGAATATAGGGGAGAATGCTTTAACCTGTTTTATTCAATTTGCTTCACAAGTGTTATCGATCAAATTAAACACTTTAATGTATAAGCATTGCTGTATCTGGAAGTTATAGCAGTATTTTTCCATTGTTTGCAGACTCCAGTGAGTAAAAACACTGTATAGAACTTTTACGCCTTCTTATAGTAGGTATCATCTGTGGTATGTTATGCACTGATAGAATGTAAGCAAAATTTGAGCAATGGTGTATGTATTACCTTTTCTCTCATTAGATCAGCTTTCATCTTATTTTCTTGAATTACATTCTGATGGGCTAGAACTGCCTCTTCATGACTCAGTTTCCCTTGAAGCCTCCTACACTCTATTTCAGCCAGCTGTTCTTCCAGATCTTTTCCACGCATCTGTTTTTGCCATTCCAAGAATTCAGAGGGGTCTCCAGCCCCTCGTAGCAAATCTTCAATTCTGCAAGAGAGAAGAAAGAATATACTATTCAAGGGATCTGGCTCTGCAGCCCTGCCTTGGTTCGTAGTTTGTTGTGATAGAAGGTATTTGATCTCTGTAGAGAAAAAAGGCGGTCATCACAAAATCATTCAAGAGATAAATTTTAATTCCAGTGTAAAAGCTGTTCCTACTATGTGGAAAGCCAGGCTGGAAGAAGGTGCATGAGGGCATGGATCTGAAAGTTTTCAGTAAAACAAAACCCCAAGAGAGGGCAAACTTTAGCTACATATGGATTCTCATAAAGACCAGGGAGAATCAGGCTGAAAGTATGTACATTTTCTCAGAGGATTACTTGGCTTAGAGGTAGAAAGAACAAATAACTTTTCTCTTTGGAAATCTTCTTGGCCACTTTAACATAGGGAACTAAAAACTTTTCTGCTTAATTCTATTCTGGTTTGTATTTTGTCAAATAAATAATACTGCTATAATGATGCAAAGAAGTATTCAGCAATTAAGCAAAGCCACGTTCTTATTTGTTGTGCTGGCTGAGAAAAGCATAGCAAAGTCCTGGGGCAGGCCCATCAAAGTCCTTACAGCAGAGGAGTGAATGAGCCAAGAACTAGGGCAGAGACACAAAGATGCAGTGAAATGCATCTTACTGCTGCTCCCCAATGCATATATATATATGTATCTGTTTTGTCTTAAATGCAGCTGAAGATTAAATCTCATTAATGTGAAATAGTGTTAAGTTACAGGGAAAATCTATTCCTTTGCTGAGTGGAACAAAATTCTGCCAGATATAGTGGACAGTATCATATGTAATGCCGAACAACCTCAATATACATACATAGCTGGTAACAGAACCTGAATGATGCATAATATCTTACCACTAAAATCCTGATCCATATACCAAAATTTGCTAGGTCCAAAGACTAAATCCAACCTTAGGCAGTCATTTTTGGACTTAAAATACCAACAATATTTAGTGCTTAACCTGCTAAGTCAGGTGGATTAAAAATAATATTCAATCAAGATTACATGATATAGGTTGTATCTTTATTAAAATTATGAGTGAAAATGTTCTGCAGTTCTAGTTATAGAATGCAGTGGCCATTCAGGAGTCACCCTCTCCCTAGTTAATGACAGGTGAAAACCTGTGCTGCTGAGTAAGGATTCCTGATGTCAGGGGAACCCTTATGTCAGGATTCCTTAGAAACCAAAAGGATCTGCAGCATCTTATTCCCCACCTCTGCCTAGGATTTAGTGGCTTGTGTTCAAAGACATCTCTGTTGCAGTGCAACCACATAACATTGGATCAGACTGGAGTAAAAAGAACCATATGAGGAAAAGCTATGAGAAGTCCTGTTGTGTGTGTACAGTTTCTTCCCGGAAGCCACACTTAAGCTGACCTTAACAGCCTTTGTCCTTGCCTAAACTACGTGGTAGGTATGCCTGTGCCCAGCCTAGTACCTTGTGGACCCTGCCTTGTTGATTTGGCTTCCTGGTTTGACCTCAGCCCGGTCTCATCACTATGGACTCATCTAGCAATCACTGGACCGTTGACTGACCCTGCTGCCTTTGACTGGATGTGCTCCACTGCCTTGCCAGGGTACTGTGGAACTGAGCTGCTTGTCAGGGCACTGTCCCTTCATGCCATGCTGTCACCCTCAGCTCCTGGCTTATCTTGCCTTGTGGAGCAGCACAATCTTAGTCTTCTATATCTCACTGTCATAGAAATGGACAGGTATTTTTATATACATATATAAGCAACTTCAAGTATCAAATTTAGCATGTAGTTGACCACAAACCATTGAAGAAAACTGAGATGTTTGAAATGATTTGGCTTATAAAGAATCATAGAATGGTTTGTGTTGGAAGGGACTTTAAAGATCATCTAGTTCCAAACCCCCTGCCATGGGCAGGGACACCTTCCACTAGACCAGGTAGCCCAAAGCCCCGTCCAACCTGGCCTTGAACACTGCCAGGGAGGGGGCAGCCACAGCTTCTCTGGGAAACCTGTTCCTGTGCCTCATCACCCTCACAATAAATAATTTCTTCATTACAACTAGTCTAAGTCTACCCTTCTTCAGTTTAAGGCTGTTATCTCTTGTCCCATTGTTACATGCCCTTATAAAAAGTCCCTCCCAATCTTTCCTGTAGCCCCCTTTAAGTACTGGAAGGCTGCTATAAGGTCTCCCTGGAGCCTTCTCTTCTCCAGGCTGAACAACCCCAACTCTCGCAGCCTGTCCTCATAAGGGAGGTGCTACTCTGCCAAGCAGATCCCTGAAGAGGCCAAAACTTGCTCTCCTGAAGTCCAAGGTAGTGAGCTTGCTTGTGCACCCTCCTCACTGCCCCAAGGATCTTGAACTTCACTATTTCATGGTCACTGCAGCCAAGGCTGCCCTTGAGCTTCACATTCCCCTCCAGCTCCTCCTTGTTGGTGAGAACAAGGTCCAGCACAGCACCTCTCCTCCATGGCTCCTTTATCACTTGGAGAAGGAAGTTATCATCAATGCACTCCAGGAATCTCCTGGATTGTTTCGGCCCTGCAGTGTTGTCCCTCCAACAGATACTGGGGTGGTTGAAGTTCCCCATGAGGACCAGGGCTCGTCTGTCTATGGAGGGCCTCATCTGCTCAGTCTTCCTGGTTGGGTGGTCTGTAGTAGACCCCCACTATAACAGCTCCCGTCCTTTCCCTCTATTCCTGACCCACAAGCTCTCGGTCGGCTCCTCATCCATCCCCAGGCACAGCTCCCTGCACTCCAGCTGGTCACTGACATAGAGGGTGACATCGCCTCCTCATCTCCCCTGCTTGTCCTTCCTAAAGAGCCTGTATCTCTCCATGCCAGCACTCCAGTCGTAAGAGTCATCCCACCATGTCTCTGTGATGCCAGTCAGATCGTGGCCCTGCAGGTGTGTGCATGTCTCTAGCTCCTCTTGTTAATTCCCCACCTACGTGTGTTTGCGTAGAGGCGTTTAATTTGGGCCCTGATGAAGCTGACTTACTGGCTGGAATTCCTTTGTGCTGCTCTTCAGCTGCTCTCCTGCTGACCTGTGATCCCTCTCCAGGCTCTGGGTATCTATTGCTGGCACTGGCATCAAACTGGTAGGAGTGGGATGGATTGAGGTTCCTCTCCCCTGGCAACTTTATTTTAAAGGCCTCCTCACCAGCCTGGCAAGCCTATGACTGAAGATGCTCTTCGCCTTCTCTGACAGATGGACCCCATCAGCCCCCAGGTTTCTCAAAGTGAGTCCCATAGTCTAAGTAGCTGAACTCCCCACCTGTGGCACCAGTCTCATGACAATTTGTCAATTCAGCGGATTTGACTGGCCCTTTCAAACGCCTTCCCTTTGACTAGAAGGATCGATGAAAAAAAACTACCTGCACTCGAGAGTCCCTTACCGCTGCTACCAGGGCTCTGTAATCCCTCTTGACACTCCTCAGAGTGCTCCTGGCTGTATCACTGGTGCCCACATGAAACAACAGCAGAGGATAATAAATATTTTATAATGGACATATTTCATAATGAACATGGAAATAGATGTGTTATTTGGGTCATTATTTATTCTGGAGAATCAGAATAAATATAACAAGTGATCCTTATTGGATTTTGCAAGTGAACACTAGTCAGGGTGCTAAATCAGAACACAGTCACAGTGTACAGCATCTACAGCAAAACAATGGCTTTAATGTAGACTTTCATATCAGTCCACTTTTGTCAACTGTATTTATAGAATAGCTTCCTAATGCCTTATGACAGATCCATTATTTTAGTTTACCTGGAATTTACTTAATTATTGTTAATGTGGTTAATTATTCTACATCCAGGGATGTGAAACAGTCTGAGGAAGAAGCGTGATTGTACCTCTTGAGCTCTTGTTCCATTTTCCGCTGATAGAGGGCACCCTCTCTTAAAATAGCTGCAGCATTTAATTTAATAGGTATATTGTCAATCTGTGAGGAAAGGGAATATATATACTATAGTTAGTAATGTAAACCATAAAACAGAGTATAAAAACATTTCAATGGGTTAAATAAATTGACCTAAGACAGCGTAAATTTTGCTTAAAGCATTCATCTAGCATTAATCTGACATTCACAATGAAATTGCATGCTGTTCATAAACCACTCAAGCTGCTTAAGAAATCAGCAAAGTCCCCCAAGTGGATTATAAATTTGTAATCACTCTTGGACCATGTCAAATCCCATAGAATGTGTTCGCTTCCTTTCATTTTTTTCAATGATCATATACATAGTGTGCAAGGTTCCATCTGCTTTGGACAAAGGAAATAAACTGCTTCTCTGAAAGACAGTAAGTTACCCAAAACCATTAAAGTAAAACACGAGCATTGCTTTTCATAGGAAGGTCTCAGAAATGTTTTAAAAATAATCACTATTATAACTTCAAAATATTTCTAAGATGACTGGCATCACCAATTTCCACATCTATTTTCTAGATAGTAGAAATGAAGTACAGTTCTCAGTGTACTTCCCAGTGACTTCCAGGCCTCATGGTGTAACTTGGACTAGATCCTGTGGCTTCTTTGCAGTTCTTCTTAGGACTAACTTCCAGACAACCTCTAAACACTGAGGGAGTAGGGGAATAACCTTTCTGCTGGTTAAAAATGTTCCCTGCACAAGTAGGCTATTCAGAAAAAATATATCACCTTTGCAGACACATGTATCTGCACATATATCACCCTTTCAGACCTGATCTGAACTGAGGAAAAACAATGCTGGTGGGATAAGAGCTGGGATCATTTCTGCAGAAAACAAAGTTTAGACATGACACATTTGACCTAAATCCAGATGAGTTCGATGTTCAGAATCCAAACATATATTTAAATTCCAAATTAACAGCTTAATGAGTGGCTGAGAAACAGATGCACAGAATAACTCAAGCTATATACTGCAAATATTGTATGCACAAATATGTGCTGAAATCTCCTGAAATACATAAGCTAACTGGAAAAAAGGATGCTTTATAATTGATATTAATTAGGTAAGTTGAGGATAACAAACACATGCTATCACCTAGAAATTCACTAACTAGAATTACTGTGTTTTCCACACAGATGGCACATTTTAATGGACAAAAAATAATTACCTGTTTCTTGGCAAAATGATGATATCTTGAAGAATTTAGGAAAAGAACGCAAACCAATGTGTTTTATTTCTTTTGTTTGACTCACTATACTTAATCTTCTTAATGCCTAATGATGTCCTTCCTTTTGGTCTACTTCTCAACTCTTTGCAAAGTCTTCTGCATGATATGAATATTCCCGCCACAGCCTGATACGCTATACTGTGTATAAAATGTCTATTTAGAGTAGACATTTTCTCTGACACATGTAGAAATTTTTGTATTTTTGGCAACTACCTGTGTATACAGATTTCATGTTCTCTACCAACTATAATTTGGAATAGACAACTGAACTAAAAATGATTATGGAAATACCTTTAACTTCAGTTCCAGTCTATTGAACAGAAATATGACTGTATGACAATGAAACAGAAATATGACAGCCCACGTAGGCAAAATAACTAGGACTCCTAAGAATATAAAAAGTAAAATAACTGAATAGATTCTTCTATGTCATGTGATATCAAGGAAGTTTTGAATTTTACTTGTTCTCTTCTTGTTGTAAGGTATCTTCCCTTTTTTCAAGTTGAGAAAATGGAAATAATCAGGAGTACTGCAGAACACTGTAATTCTTGTGGAAGAAAATTGTATTCAGTATTGCCACCTAATGAACACACAATAGCTCACCAAAACCAATAAATATGTAAAGAGGAAGGCTTGATATGAGCAAGACGCAGATTGAGACAGTGATGATGCATTTGTACCATCTCGTTCTGCCAGTGAAAAGGATGAATAGATATTTTGTAGCAGCAGTAAGAAATAATTGCTGCTGCACATAATAAATGTGTCTGAAATGAAAAAAAATATATATTTAATACACTCTGAGTGTTCTAAAAAGAGGAAAGGAAAATACTAGTTGGTCAGAACATTATACAATTTCATTAATTTGAGGACAGATTATAATCTTATTTATACATCTTGGATAAACCTTCCTCTTAGGATTTCTTTGCTCACAGTGTTGCACAGGCAGGAAGGCAACAGGATGAGAACGTATTTTAAAAGTCAATAACAATATCCCTATCTCAGCTTGAAAGTTATAGCAGCATCTTGAATATCACCTAACCAACCTTTAAGGCAAATGTGTTTAGACAAGATAAAACTGACTGTGCTCCTAGAGGAGATACTAGCAGGTGTTAGAAGTGGCCCCGATCAATGCCATAAGGTACCAGATCCAGATTTTTCTTTATGCAATTTAAGCAGATGGTTTGACTCTCATTAGTCCACACTAAGGTATTTTACATTATCAGAAAAGGAAGTGGAATATACACAGTCTTGAACTAAGCCCACATAATTTCAGGTCATGCATGTTTGGATTAACTATGTAAATGTTTCCTGTTTTGGGTTTTTTACCCCTCTTTCGAGTGCAGAAGGAATGGGTATCTTACTACTTTCCTGTAATTTAAATGCTGCTGGATTGTAAGCAAGCAGACTGAGTAGGTGATACTGTTATTAAAGATAGCTTGAGTATGTGACAAATGCCAGATCTGTTTTAGAAATAGTTGCCAGATACCCAGTTCCCCAAGCAGGGAATCATTCTTTCCAACGTGTTTATGAGCTGTACCTAACTACATAGTTTTCAAGAATAGGTAGACTTGCTCACAAGATATTTGAGGTCACAATACAAGCACAGTTTCCACATTAAATTATTCTGCATATGAACTTGAAACAAATACAAGGTGACAGAACAAAGTAAGACTGAAGATTTATCTGTAATACAGTTATTGCAGAAATAGCAAAGTGAGTTTTCATGTGTTACACCGGTAAGGCTGAACAGCCAGCCCCTTCTCCATGTTTACAATTCTCTGACCCTTGGAAATTCTAGCAGAGAAGCAATCAGTATAGTGGATTTTATGACCTCAGTATGTGTCTACAGGAAACAAGACAAACATTCAGACTGATTGTATATTGTGTATCAGACAGTCATTAGCTGGAATGATTGCTCAGCATTCTTTAGGATCTCATTTTGAAACAATGATTTACAGACACAAGATTCTTCTGTCCCTATGTTGAGTTCTTAAACCAGGGGTTTACAGTTTTTTTTTCTTTTTTTTTTCTTTTTTTTTTTTTTTTCAGTCCTTACCATTTTACATAAAAACTTCTCCCTTTGTAATTGAAAACACTGTTAAGACAATATAGTTACACTGTGCAACTGCACACAACTTACCTTTCAGGGCCCTCAGGAAACCAACGGCTCTCAATTGCCCTGACCAACCTCACCTAGGGCCCCCACTCACACCCTCACTGGTCTGGGAGCCCCACTTAAGCTCAGACACAGGCTGTGGTCCTTTCCCATTATGCTGGAGGTAATTCTCCTGGTTGTCTCTGCAGTTCTGTCTCCTGCTGTCGTGGACCTGGGTTGCTGTTGTAGCTTGTCTCCTGACCGGACATCCTGGGTGGGCCCCAGACCTGACTCGTTACCTTGCTTTGTCTAACGATGACTTGCTGTCAGCAGAACCTGCAACTACCGCCCACCTTGTCATCTTCAGAGACTGTGGCATGGTTGGTGAGGGCACAGCCTGTGCTTTCATTACCTTTGGCTCCTTGTTTCTCTTCCCTCATGGAGTAGCCACACTCTTGTTGCTCCCTGACCATTTCTTTGTGGATTGTTAATGGTGCATAAGCCAAAATTTATGAGCCATAGACCAAATCCATCTAATGCTCCTGGCCACAGAACTTAGTATAAAACCATGGATTCCAGTAGAGTTTGTATTACCACAGAATTTGCGTGTGTGTTTTGCACTCCAAAGTTTTCAAGTACATCTGACAACAGTATCTTAAAGGTTACTCACCTTGCTTTGGATCTTTTGAGCCCGGAATGCTGGTTTTCTCTTCATACTGTCATGTGGGTTCTGCAGTTCAAACCAAAAATATATTATTTCATTTCAGAGACAGATTTTCACGTACTCAACAAAAAATATTAAGATATTTACCAAAAATCACTCTTGAATATTCATCTAGAGTGACAAATACAGTCATAGGGGATGTATTTTGGAATTGTTATATCCACACAAACTTGCTATGTACACCCAGCTTAGTGGGAATGTTTCATATCAAATGACCACACAAAGGTAGGTCCAAATATTGACTAAAATTTGTTGACTAAAATAATGCTAAAAAAGTAACAGTGATGTTTTGAGTATGAAATATTACCTATATATATGAATAAATTCAGCTCTTAACTGAAATAGATATTGGGAAGACAAAATAGGGTATCAAAGCATACTTCATGAGATTATTAAATAGCAGTAGAATTCTACTGATGGCTATTAATTTAATTTTATGGTGTTAGCTATAGATACTGATGTGAAAGTGTCTGGTACCATGGGGATGAACACAGTGAATAGAATATGCAGATGTGATGCTGAAATGAATATATTACAGACATAGTTTGGTGACATAGTTGTGAACTGGGAATGAACCAAATCAAGAATTCTGTATGAATGGGACTGTTATTCCCTTAGCTTGGCTGTTCTGTGACATAAAAGTTAATGGAAAAATAATATGTAGGTTTAGAGAAATATTGCCAGTTTGGAGACTTGGTGTAGTATCACAGGAAGGCTGCTTGTCTCAAAATTAGGAGAATATAAAGCAGCACCAGAAGTATGAGAAAGGGGGATTGTGCATTATGCATCCAAAGAGGCAGATGTTAGTACATGGATGTGAAATGACAGTACAGCTATAAATGATAGCACATACTTCCTAATCCCCCTCCCCCCCCCAAAAAAAAATCCAAATACTTTGAGATATCTTTAACTACTCAGTCATTTTTCATCTTTATACTGAGGGACTTTTAAGTAATAAAGTATTTTGTAGCATACCTCTCTCTTTTCAGACTTCATGGTTGCACACCTGAACTGATTAGTATTTGCTTTCAGGAGCAGATCCTAAAATTAAAGTAATTAGCTTAAAGAGTGTAGTACATTTAAATTCTCTAATAAGAATTTTCTGTATCAAAAAGCCTTGAAGCCCCACCAGTATATTGTTTCCAGTTAATGAAAGCTTGACTTAGTATTTATATGAATTTTAATTCCTGCTTAAAGACTTGAAGTAGGCAAGTCTTTATTTTCTGCACAGTTCTGCCTGGTTGTATCCTTTGCATAGGCCATCAGGCCTTTGATAGATCTGCCCATATGAAACATGTTGCTCATCCAGAATTCCACTTAAAAGCCTCATAATTATCTATGGCACATCAGTCCCATAGGTAGTAACTGTTTCCACATAGCTAATGAATAATGACTTTGTTTTTGAGTTAAATTAGATAATTATGATCGGGGATCTGAGCCCAAGGCTTGCTCCAATAGGCACACCCCTAACAGTAATTCCACCTGTCATTTTAAAAGAGGAAGTACAGGCAGCCACATTTCCAGTTTGGGGTTATTTCTTTTGGTTGTAAACCAAATCTCTAATCAAAGCTGTGAAACACAGACTAGATTTTCTGATGGTTTTCTGGACAGCCTCTGTCCATAACATCAGCACCTCCCTAACTGCCTAGAGTACGGCTTCCACTGTTCTCACTCCTTCTTACAGATGCTCAGATGTGGTACTTACTATAGCTTCTGTAAAAATTCTATGAAATAAATGTTTTTTTAAATGCATATTTCTTTTAGGACCCAATATTTCAGCTTGTTTAGCAAACAGTCTAGGGAACTGACCTTTGTGAATACTTTGGATGCCTTTTATAACATTCCAGAGGCAACAAAACCTGCTGTTATTGCAGCTATAATTTCTGTGGTGGTTTTCCTTTGTTCCTTGTATTCATACATTTTCTCTACTGAAGAATGTGGCTGGTTGTTAAGTGATTTTACAGTTGTAATAGATTTTTGACAATATAGGCAGTGTGATATCTTTTCCTCCCCAGTTTTTCTGGGAAGCTTGTACGTACAAATAAGCACACAGACAAATATGTGTGTGCTTTTTCCACAGTATGGAAATAATAAAAGGATACAAAATGTTGTATTTTTTTATAATGAAATATCAAGCATAGGTAATGTGATGGGCCAGCAAAAGGAACGCAAAGTTTATCCCCCTAGAATCTATTGCATGTTAAAACATTTACTATAGTTTAGGAACAGAATCCAATGCCCCTTTCACAAGGACATGAGGAGAGCCCAGAACAGTGATAAATGGGCTTGTACTGGCTAGTGAAAACCAGAGTAAGGCATTTTCAGAATGGGGGTGGGAGAATGCAGATAAAAAGGAGTCAAATAGCATGCCTTTTACCAAGCTAAGGCTGTTATTCGATTGGATATGGAGACTGCAGTGTGGGGAGGAAGAAAATGGAAACTGAGAATTAATTCCCTTCCAAGGAGGAGGCGACAACTATCTGCTTTAACTATGATAGGAGCTAACTCATTGAACAGGATTATATCAAAGTTTGGATCAAATAACTAGATCTGTTCCATTGTTTTTCCAGGCCCTTCCTTCTCTTGCTCTCTTAACACACAGACCATGTACTCTGCTTCTCTACAAATCATGATGACTTCCCACTCTCTCAGCCTGATGAAGCAGAGTATAGAGTCTGCACAAAACCCAAGTCAGAATGTGCTGATATTTTAAAACAGTGAGTGATGATGTGCTTATTTATCAGTTACTAGAGAAAACAAACAAAAATATTGAACATATTTTGTATTTTGAAGCCTTAATTATTAAGCAAATACCTTAAATATCTGCATTTCCTGTGGGAGTAAAAGAGCCACTATAGTATTTCAAGGAGGAGAAGGAAGAAATCATCTATCTGCTACCTTACATGGCTACTTGCATCAATTCTCACACAGTATTTGTATAGTGAATAAAAGGCATTTCTGTCTGGAAAAAGGGTGATAGAACAGAACAGGGGATACAAACTTCACAACTCTAGAGAAAAAGCCAGGAGCTATTAGGTGCAAAGGCAAATATGTTTCAGATGAAGTTCTAACAAGTTATGGAAATGGAACATTACAGAAGAAACAGTTTAGAAGAAATGAAAGAGTAGAACAAGAACATAATACACTTACTTCTGCTTTTCGGCGATTTTTTGTTTTGATTTCCTCTAGTTGCTTTTTTTCCTGTGGAGGTTTGTAGGTGCTTGGAGGAACCTATATTAAAAGGCAATAATCTCAACAATATAGGGTATAAAACATTCCAAGTGACATGTTCTTGCAGGAAAAAAACACAGAACAGCTACAGTTATTTTTATAAATATTGATTCTTTTCTATTAGTGCCAGTGTAGAAGACATGAACAGATTCCAATTAGCTGGACTACCCAGGCTTTTCAGTCCTGTCCAATGTAATATAACCCCTGGTCAAAAGACCAGAAAGAAAAATGTGAAACTAGTATAAGAAAGGCTAAAGAAATAATAAATCCTGTACAGCCTATGAAGGTAAAAAAAAGTTGCCAGAAGGGGAAAAGTTGTTTGGCATCTCATAAACTTCAGCTTCACGCACTGACTATAGGGCAGCTGACTAAAGTTAAGCTGTGGAGCTTTCTGGCACAGTGTGTGGTTGTAGCAACAAGTTACAGAGACTCCAAAGAAGTAGAGGGAAGACCATCCTTTGAAGTTTATTAAATACCCAGGAACTTCATTGTAACTGAGGAAGTCTTTGAGCTGAAATGTGGGAGACTGAGAAGGCAGTTGGAAAAAGCAGCAGCTGTGCTTGTCCTGTCCCTGTAGTCTTTCTGGACATCTGTGTTTGGCCACTGGTAGAGAAAAAACACTGGGTAAAATGGGCCTTTGCTCTGGTTTACTACGGCTGTCCTAATGTCCTTGTAGGGACATACCACTGGAGGTGTAAATTAAACGTTTGGAGGTAGAGGACTGAGAGGGCTCTCCTAGCATTAGTCAAAGATTTTGGGAAAGTGTTCACATATCAGAAAGTGCTACAGATAAAATGACCAGGAAAGATTTATCGTCTGACTGTCATACAGATCAACAGGAGATTAGGGCCAGTATGGCTTTGAATTAGGCTGAAACTTCTGGGGGATTTCAATATTTGCCTGAGCAACAAATTTTGCCCAGAGCAAACTCTGAAAAAAGACTGGATGTCTCCTTCCTGTGTGGGTGAGATAGTCTGTCAGTTTACTGGACATCTGCATAAATATTTATCTTGCTAAAAATGTTCTAGCTCAATTACAAGTTACAGAATTAATTCTTGAATTAATAGGGAAAATCTATGTGTATTGTACCGGGGGTCAGTTTAGGGAACATGGGGATCCCATCTAGTTTTATTGGAATATATAAAGAGCTATGCTTTGAAAAACTCATCAATCTGATGTCCTTTCCACTGCCTTTGCTATTTGACATCATTATCTACAGGCAAAACAAATGCACAAACATAAGCAGCTAGCAATTAAATGCCCTGGTGAGATTGCTCAAGTATTTTTGTGAGCTTTTTAAGTGTAGAACTGAAACTATTTCCCAGAAGTATCTAAGAATTTTTTATTATGCCTTTATGGATGGAGGAATTAAAGCCCAGAGGATTTGCAAAGGGTTGCACAAGCAGTGAGTATCAATTTATTTCACTCTTCTTCCTAGTCATGTGCTTTACCTGCAAAACTGTACTCATCTGCCAGTGTAAGCTGAAAATCTCTCCTCAGAAACTGCTATGCTTACTCCAAGTAATTTAAGACGACTTTCAATCAGTCAGCTCTGTTTCAAAAATGATCTTAGCGTTGTAATTTAGCCCTCAGATACCATGGTGATGAGTACCAATCAGACAGACAGACAATACAGCAATTACTCAGTTGCTGTAAGAGGATGAATAAGTCGCTGTAAGTAAACTCTAAATTCCAGCAATAGAAAGATCAGAAAGGCCAAATGGTACCTACTTAATCCTAATGTGAAAGAAAGCGTGCTGGGAGTAAGAGACACCAGACCTGCTTTTCATCTCCAGCCAGTGGACAGGTCAGCTATGCTTTCTGGATATACTTTTACCAGAGGTTTATTTAGGAAGTAGGTACCACAAGAAGTTTAAGGAAGAGCAAACTGAATAGTCATTTTGAAATTTGGTAGTCATAACTCTTCTATTTTTTTAAAGTTACTGTGATAAAATGGACAAGGGCAAGCTAAAGCAATGTGATTGTATTAAGAGCTTCTATTTTTATATATAACAAGATCATAAAGAGAAATACATTGGTGAGTCTGTATATTTGCAAACAAAATCCTCTGTATTGGCCAAATGAATTAACTCATTTAACTATTTTAAACAATCAGCAATTCCACTCATGAGGCAGAGCTGAAATAGTAAGAAAATATCTTAAAAATACACTAAATTTGGCTGAATGGTGTTACAGTAACATCTCAGTGCGGCCTTTTATTTTTTTGAACTACATTATTGGTTTACAGAAAATCTAAAAATAAAATAATTGCATAATCTTATTATTCTAATACAGCAGTGATATTAAAATAATTTATTTGTAACTCAAGGCCAAGATATCAAATGAAATTACGTGTCCCAATCATTTTGCATGTTATCAGGTTTAAGCACCTGTCTCCATTTGTTTTCTTTGCAAACTTGAAGCTAAAGCACTCATTTTTCTTTGTAGAATTGTATTTATGAATGTGTGTATGCGTATGTGCATGCTCATGTGTGCATCCACGTGCTTGTGTGCAAAGGACAGTGAAGAATTTATAATCTTTAGACCAAATATTTAGAGTGAGATGTTTCATTACTAAATTTCAAATTAAAGTGTTTTTCCTTTTCACTTACTGTCCTCCACTTCTGATGAATGTTTATGATGATGAATTATTATCTTAACCTTCTAGGCCCATGTTACTCCAATGAAAATTTCCAAGGTCAGTGGAGAGTCCCATCTCCATACAGATGCCCAAGACAACTACCCTGCCTTCTGCAGTAACCCACATCTCCCGTCCTCTCCTCCAGGAAGCGTGTGTTCGGTGTGCAGCACAGTGGTACTATCCCAGCCCCTGAACTCAATGTATGTGGTACATCTTGTCTCGGCATTTTATCTCTACTATATCTGTACTATAGAATATAATGCAGCCTACCAGAAAGAAATACCTAAAATAATAATCCCATTAATAAGAATGAACTAATTTCACCATAGGGATGCAATAACTTATCAGTAGTCTTTGCTCAAAATCCAGATGCCTCCATATGAATTCATACAACTGTTTCAAAGTCGAGCAGTAGCTACACCTGTAGTCACTGTGACTACAATAGTCCCTGCTCATATACCACATGTCAAGTTCTTTGACAGATGCATGACAGATGCATCTTTGACAGATGCATTTTTTATTGCATATCTCATAAAATGAACAACTTCTGGAAAAAAATGGATGAGAACATTCTGCAGCAGATTATGGGATGTAATCTGGAAGAGTTTTATTTCTGTGCATTCCTTGCAATTACATACAACCCCCCACCATACAGTAGCCAAAACTATGGCCTGCTCTCACTTTACTAACTCTTTCTTGCAATCTGGGCTGTCTTTTCAGTCTCTGTTCAGGATGTAAAATGGTGATACTGGCAACAATATGGCAAATTAAAGCGAAGTTTAATTTGCTGAGATAGGTACAGAAATGAGCACAACATATGTCACTACTATGCTAATGGTTTTATATTCACACAAGCTTTTAAATTTGCAGACTTGGCCAGAATGTAAACCAAATTTAGTATAATCCTAACAACACAAATGAACTTCAGTAAATGCATCCCTATTAAAGCAAATTTATTCGAAGAGGGACTGCACAGCATAAAGGTACTAAAATGACAGCAATATGACTCATTCCTATACTGATTAAGTAGTTATTAAATGCAGTTTTTCAGAGCCTGGTATTAAGCTGTTTCAATGTAAAATCCCATTAACTGTATAACACACAGCCATTAAATTGCTCTGCCATCCTAAGATGTAAATGGTTTCTAAGAGCATTCAACACATGTATTATTTAAAACCTGAAGTGCTAATACAAGGTGGCAGATAATGCCCAAAACTATGACTTCCAAGCTCACTTCCCACTGCATTTAAATATAGATGATTTTGGAGTCTTTATTAAGTTAGTCATAGCAGCTTGATCCTAAATCCTCTTTGCCTTACACCAGTGAGCTAACTTAAAACCAATCGTGTGTCTCTGATTTGTACCAGTATAACTGAATCCATCTTAGACAATGAGTAAAATAAAAGCTTAGCATTTCAAAGATAAATCTAGTCTCATTTATATGTGAGCAATAAATTTAAACTGAAAAACCTTAATTTTAGAGATTCAACATTAATACAAGTAGAAAGGAATAAAATTCGACCCTTAAGGAGGAGCTGCAAACCTAGAGGCCATCTCGTCTCCAGTGAAATTGCTTTGCCATTTATTGTAATGAGAGTTCATCTACAAAAAACCCTAAGTTTATAAAAAAAAAATATTTTAATGTTACTTTATTAGCTGCTTTAGTGCATTATCCAAAGCAAACATCTTAAAAAGCCAAGGACTAACTACCAGAAATACTTGTATCAATACTGTCATAAATTTGCACCCAGTTGTATAGTTCTACCTCCGAAAGTCACAAAACAGCTACTGGAATGAACCTTTTCCCTTGTCTTTGTTTGGCTTACAATTTGCCTACACAACATTCAATGAAATGAAAAGAATCACTGAAATGAAAACAATTAGTTTGTTTTTCTTTAAGAAATCTGACCTTCAATAACACAGAATTTTACAAAAATTCTTGGTGATCTGTCAAAGTTTATAGATTTTCTACAATTATTTTTAAAGAGACTATTAACTCCCCTACCATGATTTTGTGCACAAGCATACATAAAACTTAGTATCTCTCAAAGCAGAAAAACACTCACAGGTGGCCTTTTTTCCAGTACTGGTATTAGGAGAGGTATAGGAATGGCACGTGGTTTGGGTACAGTCAAATTAAATTCCTTTGGCTGAGTGACCGTCGAAGTCTTGACAGTGGTAGTATGATTATTTAATTTATCTGTGAGCTGTCCAATCAGTTGCTGTACTTTTGGCTGCCATCTTCAAATAAAAACAGATTTTTCAATTTTATTTCTTTTTCTTTTCATACAAACTTACATGCAGTATGAGGTTGGCATCAGTGCAAATTCTGTAATGCTTTCAGCCATTCAATTTTAATAAAATTCACTATGAATTTGTACTCATGATTTAGTTCGACTGTGTTCCTTCACCTCTTACAAATGCTAGCCCACTCAGACTACTAGTGGTGAAATAGCCACAGTTTTTACTGAATAAGCAACTACGTTGCCAGTACGTATTGTGGGAGGACCAGACTATGAATCAGAAATGCAGGTGTCATAAGCTAAGTACACACTTAACATACTTAAAGAGACTATGAACAAACAGTGGTCTAACTATTGCCACTTTTGCCAATTGATCGAAAGCACAGGCAGTTCTAATAACAAAACCAGAAAGATGTAAAGGGTTTGGTGAATTAGGAAATGAACCCTCAGTGAACCCTGTGGGGCAGCCAAGATGATTTTGATTTCTCTGAGTTTGGATTTTGGCTTGTATGAGGGTTCAGACTTTTTCCAAGGAATGACAGGAAGGTGCAGAATTCAAGGTGAGACAGAAGCAGCTTATAACAGGGCTAATTATGGTGACAGCTTCATGTCAGTTATTCATCCTCTGTATGTGTTCTATCCTTAAGCATGCAATGGAGCTTTCCCAGAATTTAAAAAAACAGCTGACAATGAAAATTTACAGGAACGTGTTTATGTAACTGCTACCTTAGCTAGTACTGCTATTATGGGATGAGGCTTGCAAGTAACAAGTAATGCAGGTCCATTAAAATAAACAGGACTCTTTACAGGGACTCTTTACATTAACCTGGCTTGTGTCAGCAATAGCGTGGCCAGAAGGGACAGGGAAGGGATCTGACCCCTGTACTCGGCACTGGTGAGGCCGCCCCTCGATTCCTGTGTTCGGTTTTGGGCCCCTCACTACAAAAAGGACATTGAATGACTCGAGCGTGTCCAAAGAAGGGCAACGAAGCTGGTGCAGGGTCTGGAGCACAGGTGGTACGAGGAGCGGCTGAGGGAACTGGGGGGGTTTAGTCTGGAGAAGAGGAGGCTGAGGGGAGACCTCATCACCCTCTACAGCTGCCTGAAAGAAGGGTGCAGAGAGCTAGGGATGAGTCTCTTTAACCAAATAACAAGCTATAGGACAAGAGGGAATGGCCTCAAGTTGTGCCAGGGAAGGTTTAGACTGGATATTAGGAAGCATTTCTTTCCAGAAGGGGTTGTTGGGTGTTGGAATGGGCTGCCCAGGGAGGTGGTGGAGTCCCCATCCCTGGAGGGGTTTAAGAGTTGGGTTCACATAGCGCTGAGGGATCTGGGGTAGTTGGGAACTGTCAGTGTTGGGTTAATGGTTGGACTGGATGATCTTCAAGGTCTTTTCCAACCTAGACAATTCTGTGATTCTGTGAACCTCACTAGCATTAGAAAGAGGAATACAAAGATATATTTAAAAGAATTTAAGCTACTAAACTCATTAAACTGATCAAAGCATCCTCAACCCCCTGAAGGAAGTTTCAAACCCAGTAACCAAACATGGTCTTTAATGTTCTTGTACAATTTACATTTACTACTTCTAGGCAAAATATGTATTTGTTACATTGAATGTAACATAGTGTGAAAGGATTAATTCTACTGACTGATACACCAGAACTAGATGCAAACTCTTTTTCAGCTGACATTGTTTGTAGCATATTTTTGTCTAACAGTGTTTGCCATCATCTGGGTTAATCTATACCGACTGCAGTGAGGAGGATGTGTGATTGCAGTCACATTGGTGTACCAATGCTAGTTCCAATTTATCTGTTCTGAGTAAAAACGAGAGTGAAAAAGTGACACAATAGGCTACAGAGCTACTGTTTCTCCACATGAAAGCAGCAAGGGTACTCACTCCCTCACAGGAAAGTTTGGCAAGGGTACTCATGCTATTGTATCATTACATAACCAATGTGTGGTCACACCTGGCACCTCATAGCATTTAAACTGTTAAATGATGCTGCAATTGTGTAAATAAATAAGAATTTTAAAAGACTTGTTTACATGCTTATCTGATTTGCTCAGAAGGGATTTTACAACCATCAGCATACAGAAGCCTGTGCATAAAGCCAAACTCAGGGAAGTCAAACATCTTTTTTCAAATGTTTAATGTCATACAGATGTTGAAGTGACTTATGAGGCATGAGTCTAACTCTGTAAAGTAATTTGAACCTTCTGATTTATTTTTTTTTTCCTGTGATGTTTGATCTATTCAGGGACACTGAGAAGCAAATGTACAACAGCTGTGAAAGGACTTGACTTTTCTATGAGAGAACCTTGCCTCTGGGTAAAAGGGATTACTGTAGTCTCACCAAGACAAGAAGATTTTCAAGTAACTTCAGTAGGAGAAACACTTTAACAGCAAATTGAACTTTCAGGGGAAGCTTTCCCCAGCATTTAAACTTTGAGGTGGCTACAGGCTACTTAAGTTCTGCCTACCTTAGCAGTGGATCAATCCAGTTCTCTTTTACATACAGCGAATCGTAGATCTGACTCCATTCATCCTTTATCCATGTGTTCAAATACAAGGCATTGAAGAAGAATCTAAGAAACTAATAATAAGTGGCTTCTTTTAACATGCATACTGAAGGTATGATGTATATAAGACTACAAAAAGATAGTTGCTTTTACTACAAACACTGCTGAAGAACTTGCTTGTATTTTACCCTGTACAGTCATAGGTACTCGGTATTTGTAGGTTCCTCTTAGTTCTGTTAGACAGCCCCATGTCTTTCAGCTCTATTTTGTGTAACACTAATAGTAAAATGTTTTTAGTGGCCTAAAAAAAATATGGGGGCTACAACATGGGGATGTGTTGATGCATCTTTAATTTGCTTCAAACATTGTGAAACAAAAGTTTTTATTCAAAACTAATTACTACAGCAATACACTGATTTTAGTATTATACAATAGAGTTTCAGAGTCTAATATACCCACAATCAAATGATTATCTATAGCTGGATGATCCATGGTTCCCAGAAACCTGCCAGGACTGGCACTGCACCTGAATTACTTAAGTTCCTTTCAGCTCCCTGGGAACTGAGCAGAAAGAACTGCTGAGAACTACAGTAGCTGCTATACAATACGGTTTCTTCTTTTATTGAAATATAATTAATTGGCATATTCCCATTAAACTAGAAGACTGAAATTTGGCACACTTACAAATTGTAGGGTTCTACATGCTGGAGAAACAGCAACTAACATTTGAACTTTTGTTTCACAATGGAGTTCACCAGAAGGTCAAGAGCCTTTCTTTAAAACTTAAACTGTTCAAATGGCCTTTTGAAATAGACTCTTGAAAAAATGGCACTCAGATTCAGCATGTATCACTTACAGCAATATGAATTCCAAACTTGGACCTGAACTTTTTCAATAAAATTATTGGAAATGAAAGTACAAGCAAGTATCATGCTCAAATAATCCCAGTAATAGAAAAAAGCACACTAAATAATATTGACATTATGAGACATACTGGAAAGCAGTGTGCAGTCACTTGAGAAGCTTCGAATGCAGACTGCAGAGCTTATTAGTTCAGACTTGGCATCAGCCCTCCCTTAGGTTGGTTTCCATAGAGCCATGTAGGTCTTTGTATTAAGTTTTTAGTTCTGAAAGACTACCAAGGAACTTCTTAATTCTTGGCACATATGGTGCCAAGCCCAAGGTGGCTCAGAGCTTTGTGAATAATTCAGCTACAATCCAATTTAACTCAAGGTGTTTGCTGCAATTGTTCACCATGTGTAGAAAGCCTGCTACTTGAAATCTGTAGTCTTGATGTGACCATTTCCAAGGAATTAACCCGTAAAGTTAGTCCTATTTTCATCTGTTGTGCTTCTGGTAGAGTCAAAAGACTAATCAACAACTGAAGGACTAAATGAATATTACCCCTTGGATTACCATTCTTGCCTAGGAACTACTGCTTTCCCCCCAAACTGCAGATGCTGGCATATCAACACACTATCCAAAAGAAGATATTTTATCCCTAAAAGCATGACTATAAACTAAGTGTTGAATTGTGAAGAAGTTGTTTTTTTGGTGCTTCCAGATTCAGTGGAGTTTGCTAGGTGTATGCTAAGGGATGCATCTCATCCCATTGGTCTAGAAACTCATTCATTCTCCTTATGGAGGATCTTTCTCTGTAGTGCATGCATGTTGGATTAGTTGTTTCACCTAACATAGTAATTTGTCCTTGTGTGATGTATAAATAAAATGCTGGAGGTCTAGACAGAGTTCATACTCTCCAACAAAACATTGTATATACTCTAATTCTACCAGTTATTGTAACAAAATTTTACATCCATGTATCCCAGCTGTATATATAATTATAGACCCAGTGAACATGTTCCCTGCCAAAGTACTCCTCTTACATTATGGAAGGCCCTAACTACATACAGTCTATAAAACACTTGTTTTTAAATCCATGTAAGCAAGTGTGTGTACAGGGGTGGATTGAACATGCACCGATATGCCTAAAATGAGGCAGACCCCAAGGGGTGAAGCTATAATAGTTTCAAATTTCTAGGTATTCAGAGAGCTCACAGAAGTAGTTGATTTAGAAAACTGCAGGTGGTGATTTGTAAATCCTCCAGTTTTCCTTCACTAGCTTTCATTAAACTGAACTCCTCTGTCTCAGTGTCCTCAGTATTCCTCTTTTATAGCCCAGTCCATCCTCAGAGGCTTCAGTCAGTTGTCTACTACACTGCCACATGAAACTAAGCCTCTGAACTGCTGTTTCAGCTCTCCCTGACTGATCTCCATCTAGGTATATTTGCCATAACTATCTTTTATGAAGTACTAGCAACTCAACTACCTCTTCAAGCCAGATGAAATGATAATAAAGGCACACAGTCATTTCTAGCTGGCTACTACCCTTTGAGGCCTCCTACTGCAACACCAGCTAAATACTGGTTATTAACATTTCACATGGCATTACGACCAACGGGTGATCATGCGATTGATAAATGCTATGATGTACTCCTGTGAGGTACAGAGAACGGTTGACTGTGTAATCAGAAACCAATACTGTGATGTATATTTCATCCCTAGAGGAATGCTACGATAAGGATATGCACTAGTATGCATCATACTAGAGAAGGCTTTGAATGAATCCCTGGAACAGTTATCCAGGCAACGCAGGGATTGAAATGGCAGTGCAGCATTACCAAACATCATTTCAGACCACAGTCTGCCTGAGCCAAAAAATCCACAGTTTTGGTTTTGATAATCCCTATCACAGATGGCAAATGTTGGCAGAATAAGACCCACGACGATGTAGCACATTTCATTTCTTAACAATAGAAACTTTTGTGTTTTGTGAACTGAGTCTCTAGGAAATATCCCCTATATTTCTGGTTTGCCCTTGGCCACATGTGACACGGGTGGCAATCCCAGTATCAGCAGCTGTTGCTTCTATAGCAGCAAAACAAAGCTCTAAGTTCTCTGTTTGGATGTTACTAGCATGTCTCCTTAGATAAGTCACTGGACAGCCATTTTGACAGCAGAATTATTCTGCTTACTCCTCCGTCTTGAATGTTCCAAGAGTTTCACTACTCACAGAGCATGATAACCAAGATTCACTTCCCTTCTAGAAGTGGTGGAATTACACTGGAAATGAATTGTACTAATTTTTACTATTTTAATGTACTCTGGCTGTAGTAAGACAACTGTGTATAATTAAAGACTGTTTTGTAATGCATTTTTACACGTGGGTTGAATTAATACCTTCCTTCTGAGAGTCTGAACATGCCCTGCTAATATTCTTAACATATTTTTACACAGTAGGATTGTATAGATTTCTAAAAAAAACAAAAAATGGGAAGTTTCCTCATCTGGTACTATCTTTACATCCCTGTCGTCATTTGCAGAGCTAAAATCCTTATATTCACAACACAAGCTTTTGACTCTTGAGTTAAGAAAGTAAATGCAAGAAGAGCGGGTTCTGTCTCTCCCTACAGGTCAGCCACTACCTGAGAATGATATTATTTGGGCTGTACACGCCCACAGCTATTTCCTGTAGTGGCAAATGCAATCAAGGACATTCCTGTCCGCTCCTCTATGCCTCTGCTATTCCTTCCCTCTTACTGTAGTTTAGTTCTTCAGCTCTGGCAGCTCAACCACCCATAGGATTGTACCTTTCAACTGCAACAGAGAAATGAAAAGGAAAGCAAGCAAGAAGCTCTTAAGAAGGCTTTCCTATGAAGAAATTGTAATGGGCAACTCTATCTTGAAGATCATATTTTGAGCTAAAGGTGTAGAGAAAAGTGTCCTAGCCATAGTCTCAGGTCCTCCTGCCACTATATGACCCAACTTGGACTTTTTTTACCCCCATTTCCACCATGAGGCTGATCTTGTCCTACTTCTTACTGGTCTTGTCCCACTGTTGCTACTCATCATAACAGCAATTACAATACCCAGTTCTTATGTAGTGATATTCCTTTGCAGATCTCAGAAGTTATTTCTAAAGGACTTTACTGTTGTGAGAAGCAATTGGAACATGAAACAGAACAAAACAGGTTCTTGAATGCTACAAAGAAAACACTAGTTATTTTGCTTTTTCTAACAAGGCAATTATGAAATTATAAAGATGATTACTTCAACTTTTTATTTCAACAGTGTATTTTCTCTAACTTACAAACCCTTACATTTTACAACAAATACAAAAGAATAACATGTATCAATAGTAGAACAGAAAAATAAGCTTCAGCTAGCAATGCATAGCTAAGTTCTTAGAAGAACAATCACACTAAAGTTACAAAATTGGGTTTTATCCTATGATTCTATAATTATACAAACCTAAAGAACTTTTGCATGTATTCTTAACATTACAGAACGGGAGCTTATGATTTCCTGTTCAAGCAGATTAACATGTGTTAGTGAGGTAGCATTATTATTATTCTGCCTGGATATTTTACCTAAATGAAAATATCTGAACATGCATCAATCATAGGCAAACACTGTCACTTTGATTTGAATGGATTCCATCATGCAGTCTGTTAAGAGAAAGGTCTACTCACACAAGTCAATCTCATTCAACTGAAGACTACTCATTTGAGTAAGGTTTATCTGCATGATTAAGAAAATTCCATTCAGCCTGTCATATGCAGAAAAATTTATTTTTCAGTTAAAGTAAATCTAAGTAAATATATGTGAAAAATTTTCCTGCATCTCAACTGAATTCAGATACAGTCTACGGGTCAGCATCCTGAAGGAGAATCCCAAATTTCAGAAAACTTCTGTTGTTAAGGCTGCAGATCGGCCTTCTGCTGGTTTTGTCTCTGTTGCTGGGGGACCAAATGCTGCTTCTAAATCCTCTGCTGCAGGTGCATTAATATAATCTAGCATCACTTTGGAGACAAAGAACCTCTTCTAATGCAAGAGAAGAAAACCTAGGTACCATGGTGATGAGTATCTGATAATATACTAAAGCAAACAAAGTTACATCTACAGGAAAAAAAGTAGCAGGTGCAGCCCATTGCATAATGCAGCAGAAAAGCATTATTCCAGACAAGGAAGGAGAAATTATCTGAAATAGAACATCGGGGCACTGATGCTTAAACCATAGTAAGCTTGGTGAATGAAATCAACAAGAGAGAACTGGCACGAAGTGGGAAGATTGTGTTGCTAGCTGAATGAGCTCGAGATGCATCCAATCCAGTGGCTTGTGTCTAAGATGTTTACCAAAGAAGGGGCTGGGAGAGCACTGTAGACAATGATTTGTCTGTCTACCAGATTATGATAATTCTTCCAGCCACTTCTCTGTTCTTTTTAACAGTTAATGAAATATATCATTTTTGTCTCTGAATGGAGACAAAATAAAAACCTAATAAAAACCATTCCATCATTAGACCATCAAAACAAAGTGAATAGAGGGTTTCTAAAAACATCATGCAGAGACTCCGTCCCTACATATTACAAAGCAACTGCACTTTATTAAAGAGACACTGGCATCCACATGAACATTCAAAATAATCAGAATAAGGATAAACCTTAGCCTTTTGAGTATTAATTACTAAAATTTGCCTATTGCTTGAATTCCATATATGTTATTCAAACGCTGTGTTTGGACTATGCTTTGAAACATCTGGATGATCAAAATTACATATGCTATGTCACCAGTAATTTAATTTTTAGCCCAGTTCCCTAAAAAAATAGGGCTTATGAGAAAGCACTGCTGCTCAGTTTATCCCTCTGCCCCTCTTTACAATATAGCTTTTAAGATAATCATCACTTTCAACCATTCTGAAAGAGATCTATATTTCTACAGATTTCATTAAAATAAGCAAACAAGTAGTGGAGCAAAACCCAAATTTGTGACTCCAGAGAGGAAAATGCAGGCAGAACTCTGTTGTCACGCCTTCTATTTGGCAGCAATAGTTTGGCCAATTGCATGTATGCTATAATTGGGTAACTGGTACATGCATAGCTCCAAATGAGCAATTGTTTTTTGGGAAGGAGAAAAAGTGATGGAAGGACAATAGGCTTGATAATTGAAGTAGTAGTGGATTGTTCAGGGAAAAGAGAACACTAATCAGCAAGAACTGCAAGTTTCAGTAGATCCTTGTATATGGAAAAAAACTCTCCTGCCTAAAGTCAAAGAAAGAATGTGAGCAGAGCCATTAGTGAGCATGCAAGTTAGAGGAACAACTGTAAATCACATGACCTGTGTGATTATTCTACCTTCTCAGATTATATAAAATACATTTTAAGTTGATCTTTGACTGAATATGAGTCACTGTGTAAGTACAGAAATGGATGGGTTTTGTTATAACAAAATACTAATTTAATTTCTGAATTTAAACAGAAAACAACACTAATTTCTGATTTTAAATTATCATGCAAGTTGAGAAAACTCATCTGCTTAATCAAGCACAATGAAGAGATCATTAATTTTTTAAAAAATGTTTTGTACTTTCATTACCTTTTGCATTTTTGCAGTGTCCAGCGATTTCACAATTCTGCTGAAGTGCTGAAGACCAAGCTCTTCCAGTTGAAAAGTAGCCAGATAACAAATAACTATCAAAAGATACACACATTTAAAATGCAGCAGGGAATTCTAATAAACCTATACCCTACTCTCAGCATACTCTGGGATTTAGACTGTTTCTTTTATTTTAAATAGTCTTCGATGTTGTTTATCTAACTGAGCAATATAATGCTTGACTATGAGTATAATGTTAACCCTATATTCATTATTAGCATCGTGACTCTATGCTATGGTTCATATAAATTAGTTATCTCTTTCAACAGACAGATCCAAGCTAGTGCAAATCTACACAACTTTATGGAATTCTAACAGCTGAGGATCTAGCCGCTTACACAAAAAATGTAAAACAATTGTAGTTATCTCAAGTCACTCATGGAGGTCCTTTGGATGCCTGCAAATGTCTGTTTGTAAAACTGGGAGATCTACCATAGCAGCATTTGGAAACCTGTAAGGCCAAAGGTAAGATCTTGCTATGATTTCACAGTCATTTCGTTATGCCAACATCACCACTAAAATAAGCAGCTCTGTCAACCCCTAATTGCTTGTTGTCATACTCTCCTTTTACTTCCTGGTGTTTCTTCTCCTGGGCAAGTACAGTCACCCACATAGCCAAGTTAAAACAGATTGTGAATTTTAACCTGAAGCACTTTCTTGATCAGTTCACTGGATGGCTGCTGAACACAAGTTCTATTTCAGAAGAATCTATGACATAGGGTTGAGAATGAGTGGCCAGTGATGAGAAAAAGGGTGGCTTGTTTCTCTGGGTAATAGTACCAGTTTATCCAACAAATATCTGCATATTCCATCTGTGAAATTCTGTGTTAGTGTGGCAACAAGGCAGGGAGAATAAGAGCCTGATGGTTTCTAAGAGACATGACTGAAAAGTTTCTGACAGTATTACATTGTTGGAAACCTCTCTCTTTCAGTGTAACCAAAATTTTCAGTGTAAGCAAGCTTAGTCTGAGAAAACGTAATGTGAACAGGAGACATAAGAGAATGCTTTGATAGTGAATTTTTCAACACACTCTGTTTTTAATGTTTTCAGAGAGGATAGCTCTTATTCTTTTGTTCCAGAATCATAGTTTATTATACATAACAAAAATTTTAAACATAAACTGTCATATTTCTAGTATTTATTTTCCTTTTTTTTTTTTTTCAAGTGACCATTTTGCAGAAAATGTTGTAATCTTTGGTTTTATTCTGAATTAGAATAAAACAAAGTTTTAAAATGGTGAAATTCTCTGGGAAGTCCAAGCCTGATACTTGCACGCCCCTCTGGCAAATATAAAGTTCAATACAGGAAGAGGCACAGTCAGTGCTGTGAGATTTTTGCAGACGTGTAAAGTTCACAAGCTCCTGTATCAGCTTTCATTTGACCATACTCACTTTGATCAATCAGGCTTCACTTCCACTGCAGTATTTCAGCTGCTACCAAGCAGTAATGATAAAATCAGTAAATTCTGACCAATGTGCTGCAGCCAGCTCAGTGTATTGTTAGGCTTCAATCTTGTGCTTTAGCATAGCAACGTATTTAAGCAGTCTTAGCAGAATATACATTTATCTCCTACAAGCTTTATTAAATTCAAATCTGCTCACACATAGCAACAGCCTTTATAAGCAGCTTTGATCATTTAAGTGTCAATGCAGCTTGGCAAAAGGAATCACAAGCAGCTTAAAAAAATGTAAGCCAATGACCTTAGACTCTCAACTTGTTGATAAAAGAAAATTTTCCGGGGCCTACCCTCTGCCTATGATTAATGAAGGCTTTTGAGTGGACCAGTCCTGACAATCCAATTATAGCAACACTCAGCTTAAAGGTATAATTTATGTGCTCCAGACACTGAAAAACATGGCTTTGGAGAAACGGAGACAATGAAACATTACCGTTTAGAATAAACTCAATGTACTATTAATTTCATCCTTGACAGTTCAGCTTTCTTTCCGTTTGCTCTTTGATTTAGATTTCTATTCCTTTTCAGATTGTGACAGAAGCAACCAGAATTGCCACAAAAATTTAGTAGCTTTTAAAACATAAAATTTAGAGTTTTTTGCACTTTTCAACAACTCTGAATTAAATTGACTGGAGTTTTCAAAGTACCCACAAAGCTTCAGAACATATCTCACTTAGAGAACCAATGCCAGTGCGATTTGTGATTCCATTTTATTTAGGGACTTAATAAATCAACCTCAGTATGTATATTAAATGCACAGTATAAAAATATTTTTTAAATTACTTTTTAATGTATTTCTCAATGCCTGAAATAACTTTGGGAGTAATAACTACTCTGATTAACAATCTCATACAATCAGATGTATTGTAACTGATTCTAACCAAGTAACTAATAAAAGGAAACTAATTGATCTCATTCATGGAGACAGATAGAAGTCTATTTATGTCATTGTGATGGTCAGGAACAAGGAAACCCATGTATGGATAGAGATAGTTGTATCTTCATACAGTGAGACATGCTGTGTTCCTCAGCAGACAAAGCTTTGTTCCACAATTTCATACCTGAATGGCAGAGGTACTAGGTTGCATAGAAGAGAATAAAGGGAACTCACTGAAGAACATTTTTTAAAAGCATGGTTAAACTTCCAGGATGCTTCTTCCAAGAGACTTCTTCCAGCCACCAATGCTATTTTCCATCTGCATGTTACCTAATCTGCAGGCATATTCTGCAGAATTTTCTTAGGTAAAATTCCAGTTAACACCTTTGAGAGTCCAGATTAAATAACAATTTGAGGATTTAGGCTTTACATCATAAGGCCATTGGAAAAGGTTCTGTACTTCATACTGCATTGGGCACAATGACAATGCTTCAAATGTAATATAATATTAAGACCTACATTAGTAAAATGATATTTTTTTAAAGTTTTGTGGTAAACACATTTAGTGTTTTAAAGAAAACTTACCTATATAGAGATTACGTTCAGAAATCAAGCAATATCTCCCATCTCGAACAAAAAAGGCATTGACCACTACATCCAATAAGGATTTATATTCTATGCATCCAGCTAGTGTATCCAACACAAATTTTTCTTCTGTCATGTTAAGAGTCTATAGAAATACAAAATTAATAATGATTAATGTATTCTGGAAAAAAAAATGTTAGTTGTGTACAAAAAGAAGTACGATCATTTTGAAGTAATTGGAAAACTTGAAAAACAAATAGCAGTGCCTTTGGTAGGGCTGACGCACTTCTAGTACTATCAAATATGGGCAGTTCTAACAAATTAATGGACCTTGTTAAGTAAAATGTAACCTTCCCCAATGTTAAACTTCCCATTTATCTGCTGACATATGCATTTAGTTAAAAGGCCTTGATGTGTGAATGTCAATAGTTACTGCAAAGAAAATTTGAAGTCTCTGAGCTACTTAGCCAAGAGTATGAGAAAGTTTCAGTAAAGGTTTGCTTTCCCAGGACGAAACTTGTTCTTTGCTGGTGAAGTCGGTGATACTTGGGAAGACTAAGTTGAGGGGAGAAGCTGGACCGGGATTACAGAAAAAGACTCTTAACTGCTACTGTAACCTAATACTGGAGAATATGACTAATTTAAACTAAACTTTTGAGTGCCAAGATTCTTGTTAATGCAGACTGTTTCTTACCCAGCTGTGCTCTCAGTCACTCATAATGTTCATGCAATACCTCAAGAGAATAGAAAAAGGAGGGTCAGATGGTCACTGCATGCCATTTGGATCCTACCTCATAATCCCTTTAAAAAGTTTGAATGCTCCTGAACTTTACAGAGAGTTTCAATCATAATAAATAACCTATGCAATATCTGTTACTACATGAGACAGACTTCTAGTATGAACCAGCTCTAAACACTGCAATAAAATCTGAGGCCTAGAACAGTTTGTTATTACATGAATTGAAAAAGGACAGCCACACTATGACAATATGACAAACAATAATGATTCTTTGACTTAAGGAGGTTAGTCAAGAAGCCAAGAAAAAAGCTAAGTGCATCTTCTGAAAACATGTAGTCCACATTTGATATATGATCTCTCCCACAGCTCTAACATGTGGGAACAATTGAACTGCAATGATATATCGGATGAAAGGTTCACCTTGCCTAGTAGGCTATCTGCTAGCATCTTGATTGCTTTATTTCCCTAATGTGATTCATTTCTAGTTTAAGGGTATTATTAGAGGCTGCTGGAAGGAACTATGTGAGTGTTCTGATGTATGACACTATATAGGGCTTTGAGATTGAGCAAATACAAGGCAAAACTGTAAAATTAGAGTTCCAATTCTTAAATGTAAAAAATGATGCAGAAGCATTGCAAGTGTATTTTCTCAGGCTGTCATTCACAGCAAGCATAATTCTTTTTCCCTACTCCTGCTCAAAAGCCAGATTTCATTCCTTCCAATTTGTGCATCATCACTAGAAAAAATAGAGCCTCCATATAATTGTCTCCATATCCATCTATATTTATATATGCATATACTGATACACATGTATGCAGGAAAAATTACACCTACATACATCCTTGTAATTTCTTTACTGCCACTGGGATTAAACTAATACATCTGATTACTTCTCTAGCAGAACTGTAATAGACAATATTACTAATGATACACATACAGAAACAGAATCAAGGTCAGTTTGTTGGGTTTTAGACCCTTAGGCTAATAATAGTTAAAAATATAGAAAAGCTTTATTTCTATAACTGAAGTAACCAGATATGACTCTGAATATATTCTGTGACCCAGAAATGTTGGTTAAGAAGAAACAAAGTGTAACCAAACTCATCATTACATGGAGACACGGAAGGTTCACAAAGTCTGCTGGGCAGCACTAGAGACTGAGTGTGAATAAGCAGGATATCACCTACATTCTTAATTAGGGCTCTGAAGAAAGAAGAACCAAGTTGTGGTTGAGATGGGAGAAAAATAAAGGGGAATGTATTTAGGACAATGGGAGCCAACTGGAGTGAGGTGGCAAAGATGGAGCACAGAGAAAGGAGTGAAAAGGAAGGTAGGGGAAAACAGAAGATACAGAAGGGGTTAGATGGAGTATAGGCACAAATAGAAAGGCAGAGGAAAGAGACTGAACACATCTGAAAATACACAATGGGAAGCATGGACTCCATCTTGCTAAGCACTGAGAATTCTGGTGAGGCTCACAGTCCATTCCGAATATATCTTTTCTGGATGAAGATTTATGGAAACTCTTTCATAAAACTGACAAAGAGAATCCAGAAATTTAATATCCCATCCCCCCCCCCCCCCAGAAACAGCATGAATTAAATGGAGAAGTATCTGTAAAAAGCAAGCTTCGGCACTGTGGGTGTATGGTAATAAGGATGGTTACAATGGGACCTGTTTAAGGGCCAGAGAGATCAGAGAAGTACGGGTAAGGAGAGAAGGAAAAGCTCATGTTTCTGGAGAGAAGGAAGGAAAGGAATATCAGCTGTGGTCTGAGACTTCTCATGATAAGGATTTAGTTTAAGGTGAAACAAACATTTTAGAAAGAAGATAATATTTGATAAAAAGATAAAATAGCTTTCACCTCCTGAGAGAACTGAGTAATAGTATGTGCTGAACTTGTCTATTTCTAGTGAGAATATGCACATTTTGCAGATGCAGTCTAATTTATAGTGCTACAGATGTCAGTGCTAGTCCTCTCCAAGGGTCTAATCAAAACGCTGTGGAAATGAAGGAAAATATTCCTATTGACCTCACTGGGTTTTGAATCAGTCACCAGAACCCAGTCTTTTTTCCCTCTGAAGTCAGTGAAAATGCTTCCAATAATTTCAGTGGGGGAAAAAACCCTGCAATCTTAGGATATAAGTAGGAGAAGGTACTGCTTCTGCTATTTACAGTCTATGCTGCAGTCACAAGCTAGTATTTTCATCTTCAGCTGATAATGCTGACCATCTTGAAGAGGTACAGTTAATGTTATTTTCCCTTGTATTTAATATTAAATCACGAGTGGGACACTGCAGAAAACTCAGATTCCATCCTTTCCTTAGAAAGATCCTAATCTGCATTTATGTCAGTAACTAATAATACAAATTAGACTTGTATAATTTAGTAGGATTTTTTTTCATCACGTATCAAAATAATCTTTCATTACATTATTTTCATATTTAAAACTAAATCTATGACTTCTGACATTTGGAGATTTTATTCACAGTTGAGTGGGCATGTGTGAGACACACAGCTGAACCAACACAAATGAGAACTATGAAGAGTTATGCCAAATTACACCATGTTCTTGCAAAATGGAAAGCTCATAAACAGGTTCATCTTGCTCTCAAC